GAAACTTAGGTAACAAGGATAACAAAAAGAAAGAAGGTACCATAATTCTGTATCCTTCCAGGAGAATCAATCATCTAGAAACCCAGTGTTTGGCTTTTTCACAGAAACCTTCCAACCAGTCTTACAGGTGCTACTAAGGAGGAGGATCAAAGCAATCAATGACAGTGAAGTCTAGAAGGATATACTCCAGGTTGCTGACATTATTTCCAAAGGATGAAAATGGAAAGGGATGATGACAAATTATTAAATTTTATTTACCCATCTTTGAATTATTTCATCTGTTACCTTAAGCACATAGCACTTTTGTAATATACATTAATAAAGAACATTGATAAGAAAAGCAACTATGTATTCATTTAACACACACACAAAAAAAAAAAAAAAAAAAAAAAACCAAAACAACAACAACACTGATTAAGAGAGTGTTTGTATATAATGTACATGGTCTGTCATATTTACAAGAACCAGTAAGCTCACCAAAGAGACTAAAATTCCCAAGTCCAATGATTAGTTTACAGCAGAAGTTTTATGAGGCAGGAGCCTGAGGGGAGCCTCCGGGTTTATAGCACTTCTCTTGCCCGAGCCCCTATTCTACTGTGCCGCCCAGTGCCCTCCCCTGTAGTTAAAGGAAGTAAGGTGCGTAATGACTCAGCACAGTGCCTGGAACAAGCTAGTCCTCCACCTCACAAAGAGGTCCCATAGAATCAAGGCCACTTTCATCCTGTTAGATAGGACCAGCTTTCCTCCCGGGGTAAATATCACATAAATGATTGAAGCAGAGATGGATGGTCTCCTCATAGAGCGACATAGCTCTCTCCTCCGAGAGTTCCTGCCTGAGATGTGACATAGGTCACCACCTCTAAACCTCTCCCAGAGCATAATCCTATGGTTAGTGGGTGCTTCCTCATGGATCATGCTTTAGAATCTTCAGGATTTTTCAACCTCAGTACTATAGAGATTGTGGACCCAGTGATTCTTTGTTGTCAGGGGCTGTGCATTGTAGGGTGTTTGGTAGCAAGCAACATATACCAAACCGCTCAAGCCAAAACTTAATCCAGTAGATGCCAGCAGCATGCAACCCCCACAGTTGTGACAGAAACATCTCCAGACGTTGCTAAGTGTCCACTCTGGGGCAAAATTGTCCCCAGTTTAGCCGAAACTGGTTTGGCTCAGTGGTAGAGCGTCAGTCTGCGGACTGAAAGGTCCCGGGTTCGATTCCGGTCAAGGGCATGTACATTGGTTGCGGGCATATCCCCAGTAGGGGGTGTGCAAGAGGCAGCTGAGTGATGTTTCTCTCTCATTGACGTTTCTAGCTCTCTATCTCTCTCCCTTTCTCTCTGTAAAAAATCAATAAAATATATATTTTTTAAAAATTGTCCCCAGTTTAGAACCACCGTCATCGATCAGTTTTGTTCTTCTTCAGCTATCCCATAAGAACCTGGGGCTAGGACTACACATTACTGTTCATGTACCCCCTCTCCCCACCAACCCGCCCCCCCCTCACCACACACACACACACACACACACACACACACAAAACTTGAACTTTTAAACTTGGTTTTAAGACCAGTGCAAGTCAAGTTTCCCAAAGCATTTAGCTAACATTTTAGTGCAAATTTTCTCACTTATTGGTGGCTGCCAAAGGACAAGAGGCAAGGAAAAGTTAGGTAGGTCAAGCCAGGCCCTGTGGGGATGAGAAGGGGGGGGGGGAAGAGGTGTTCCATTTTCCGTGAAGAACAAGATCTCAGATTCACTCATGCAGCATAAAATGAGTGAGACAGGCTGGCAGACGATAGCTTCTTTAATCGTATGGCTTTAAATACCATCTATGTACCGATGACCCCACATTTTATATTTCTTTGTTGTTCATCCTCACCTGCCTTTGACCAGGGAGGACTTGAACCTGTGATTCCCCAGTACTCCAGCCAATACTCTAACCACTGAGCAACACCAGCCCTGGCCCACATTTTATATTTCCAATCCTCACCTCCCTCATGGTAGCCAGATTCTTGCATTCAACTGCCATTCAATATCTCCATTTGGGTCTTATATATATATAGGAATCTCAAACTCAGCATGGCCAAAACTGAGCGGATTTCCCCTCCTAAACCTGATGATCCTTCTCCGGTATTTCTCATGAATGGCCATACCACCCATACAACAAACTGCTCAAGCCCAAACGGAAGTCATCCTTGAGTCTTCTATTCCTCTTTCCCTCGCCTCCATAGCCTTCAGTCATGTCAGCTCTGCCTCCGAACCCATCCCTAGATCTGCCTCTTTTCTCTAGCTCCACTCCTGCCACCCTAGAATGAGCCACTGTCATTTCTTTCTAGACCACGGCATTAGCTTCCTAACTAGCTCTTGTTTTCTCTCGTGTCCCCTACATCAGGTTTTCTCCATATCACGCTATTTATATATTGGGCTAAATAACTCTTGTTTGGTGTATGTGGCGGGGAGGGGCTGTCTCATGAACTGGAGGATGTTTAGCAGCATCCCTTGCCTCCAACCACCATATGCCAGTAACAAAACTCCCCCCGCCCCCGCCCAAACTGTGACAAACAAAAATGTCTTTAAACGTTGTGAGGGGACAGAACCACCCCCAGCTGAGAACGATGGCCCTGCATCCTACACACAGAAGGCAGGATATTTTAAAAATATAAATTGCATCATGACACCTTCCAATGTCTCTCCATTGATCTTACAGTAACACGCCTCCTTGCCTGGCTTCCAAGACCTCTATGAACTGGCTCCTGCCTACTTCTCTAACATCCTCTCTTCCACACCACGACTCTCCCTCATCCAACTCCAGCCACACAGGTCTCTCTGTTCCTTAAACATTCCAAAGCTTGCACCTCTCCACTCTTTGCACCTGCTGTTCCCTCTGCCTAGAATACACTCTTTCCAGATCTTTGCATGGCTCACTGTTCATGCACACAAATCCCAGCTCCAATGGTGCTTAGTCAGCAAGGCCATCCCTGACCACCCTATCTGAAGGACCCACGGACCTCCATTCGCTTCCACACTGCTGGTTTATTTCCCCCATAGTGCTAATCACAACAGGAAGTTGTCTTGTTCTCCTGGAGAGGCAGACCCTGTCTACCTGGTTCTCTGCTATAGCTCAAGTGCTAGAACACCATCCAGGACAGAGTAGGTAATCAAAATTTCCTCCCCTCCCTCTTCTCATATTTCAGATCAGGCTTTCCTTCTAAGATTATTCTCTGCACATATCCCAATGAGGGATGGAAACTGGCAACCTGGGCATGTGCCCTGACTGGGAATCGAACCAGCGATCCTTTGATGCTCAACCCATTGAGTCACACCAGCCAAGGCTCTAAGATTATTCTTTTCTTAAAAAAAAAAAAAATCTTACTTTGTTAATTTCATTTTAATTGATTTCAGAAAGGAAGGGAGAGGGGGAGGTAGAAATGAGAATCATTGATCGGCTGCCTCCTGCACGCCTCTTTTGGGGATTGAGCCTGCAACCCAGGGAAGGGGCCCTTGACTGGAATCAAACCTGGGACCCTTCAGCCTACAGGCCAATGCTTTATCCACTGAGCCAAACCAGCTAGGGCTCTAAGGTTATTCTTGATTGGTGACCTTCATTTCCAAACTATACTAAACCTATGTTTAAAAGTATAGCTGGGGTTACCAGGTACAGGATTTAGTACAAAAAAAAAAAAAAAAAAAAAAAAAAAAAAAAAAAAGATAACTGCTTATTTTGAAACAAAGGCCAATTACTGAGTGAGTGGCGGTTTCATGCCCCGCAGGTTTTGAGGAGGCACATAATCATTCTACTGTCATCATTTCTGGTTGCTCTTTGTCCCTAGGTGGGGAAAGGGACTGTGCATCTCAAACTCACCTGGTTCAGAGGTTCAAACAGCCTCGTTGTCCATCAACTCAATTGACACAGTAGAATGGCCTGGAAACTTGTGCTGGCTTCAAGTTAAAACAGTTGCCTGCGTCAGAGGCAGGATGGTCCAAGATGCAAGCATGGTCAACAAATGCTGGCTGAGTCCGGAAACTGTAGATGGGCTGTTTCTTGTGTTGATTTATAGGCGGTTTCCATGATTGGTCCATCCGGCAGCTTGGTGGCTGCAAACTGGAGGCAATGTTGTCCTGGCTGAGGGCCATGGCCCTTTCGTGGCTTCTGGGAAGTACTTCATCGGGACATTTTTACATTCTGGCTGGTTGCCGCCTTGTCCCTCCGGGGAGGGCTCTCCACGCGGTGCACAGACGTCTCCACGCGCAGGGACGAGGCCCTCACGTGGCGGGAGGACGTCTCTGTGCGCTGCGAGGAGGTTTCCACGCGCTGGGAGGACACCTGGAGGATGCGAGGGAGCCGCTTTCCAGAGGGGAACTGGGAGGGCCCCTCGCTGCGGCACTGGGAGGTCTCCACCTGCCGGGAAGACGTGTGCACCCGCCGGGAGGAGGTCTCCACGCGGTGGGACGAGGTCTCCACGCGGACCGTCGACGTCTCCTTGTAGCGGGTGGTTTCCACCAGGGGCGAAGCGGCCTTTCCCCGAAGGGGTGAGGCCATTCTACGGGTGTCAAGGGGGTGGGCGACAGAGAGACCTCGGGAGGCCCCACAGACGAGCACGCCCCTGGTAGTCTCGCCTCTGGGTTACATCACAATGGAAGGGATGATGTCACAATGGCGTGTTACATCACCGCAGACACAAGGGTGGACGAAAGCGCCCCCACACCATGACATGCAGGCCCAGGGTTCTGCCGGGCTTTTCCCTCTCCCTTGCAAATACTGGGCACAGCCCAGCGCCCTCCATTGCCTGGGGCTCGCGCAGGCGCGTAAGCGGCTGAGCCCGGGGCGAGCCCGGACGGGCCCGGGATGGGCGGAGCCTCCCGCTCCCACGCCTGGCTGCTCCCGCCCCCACATCCCACACTGCCCCGCGACAGGAAGGCGGAGCCGCGGCTTCCGGGACCTCCTCCTCCGCTCCCGGCAGTTGCCTTGTGGGACTGGAGGCGGCTGAGCTTTTTAGCGGGTGATGGCCGCGGCTGTCGCCATGGAGACAGGTCAGTAGCACTGGGTCCCGCGAGTCTTCGCGGACAGACGGGTCGCGGGCCTGGGCACCTACCTCCTCTGGCTCCCCGGGGCTCCTTGCGGGGTGACTGTTCGGACCCGGGGGCGCGAGGGCCCTCGGCGCGGCTGGAAAAGCTAAGGTAGCTTGGCCTTTTCGGAGGTGATTTGTTCGCAGACCTTCTCCCTCCCTTGCTGGTCAAACACCGACCCCGTGGGCTTCCTGGCTTGGGCGAGACTACCCGAGGGGAGTTCGATTTGTTTTCTGCGTCTCCAGTGAACTTGTTTAAGTTTGAAATATCGTCGACACACTCGTGTGTTTTTCTGCCACGCACCCCCCGATCTTGCACACATTCCGTCTCTCTTTTTTTTTTTTTTTCTTCCAGTTTGAACTCTAATTGACTTAGCATTCGCTTAGCTTTGCTAAATATAATCACATTAACATTTTAACGCAGTATTCATATAGGGCAGTGTTTCCCAAACTTCTCTCATGATGAGAATCACCTGGTGGAGTTGTTAAACTACAGATTCCTGAATCCCAACTGAGAAGTGCTAAACTAGAATTTTTGGGGACATATAGGTAAAATTGTATACTTAACTTTTAGTGCTCTGCCCAACTAAGAAGTGCTAAACAGGGAGCAACTAGTTTAGCACTTCTTAGTTGGGATTCAGGAATCTGTATTTTAACAACATTCTCATCATGAGAGAAGTTTGGGAAACACTGATACAGGGGAAGGCACAGCTGTTATTACCACGTACCCCAGTGATCACTGTTAAAATCTCTCCATAGTGGCTTGTAAGTGATAAATGTCCTGCCTCCTGTGTGTTCCTGTTTTCTTTGATGACTTTTAACTTTAGAGGAATAATCATTTTAGTCAGGGCTTTGGTTTTCTTAACCCTTGTGAAGGTTTATCTCCTCTCACAGCCAGTTTAGAAAAGCCATCATCACCTGCCCTTCATGAAGAAATGTGTATCAGCATTTAGTCGGGTTTCTTCACCGTGCTGTTTTCTTTCTACAAGAAAACTTTATTATATAAAGTGACCTTTCCTTTGGGTGATTTTCGCTATCTTCTCTCCTAGATGATGCTGGAAATCGACTTCGGTTTCAGTTGGAGTTGGAATTTGTGCAGTGTTTAGCTAACCCTAATTATCTTAATTGTAAGTTGTTGAGCACCTCATTGAATTAATGATTTTTGGCAGATGAGTTGCAGTTCATATTAGTGTCTGCTTTTATACATTCTCAATGGATTGGAATTATTGTTACACTTAATACTGGTGCATATACATATATAATTGAGCAAACTGGGACTTGTTTATGAATTCAATGTGTGTTGGTGGGGGAGATGTTATGTATGTAAATTCTTTGTTAGAAGTCACAAGTCGGTTCAAGGATTCGTTTGCTCTACAGATGCATTTTTTTTTTATGCCTTTCAGTTCTTGCCCAAAGAGGTTACTTCAAAGACAAAGCTTTTGTTAATTATCTTAAGTACTTGCTTTACTGGAAAGAACCAGAATATGCCAAGTATCTAAAGTAAGTTTAATTTTAACAGTCCTAAATATGTATATGTTTTATTATACTCCAAAACACTGGATTTAACAGACTTCTTAGTTTCACCCATCTCTCCACCTTTCAATACACATTTATCTCTAATTTGGATTATTGCAGTAATCTGCTCACTGGTTGTCTTTGCTTCCACTCTTACCTTTTTCCTCCACCTCACCCTCTCACCCCTAGCCAAAGCAAGCAAAACAATTCTTTATGCAGAAGCCAAATTGACCTCTTAAAAATGTAAGTCACAACATGTTACTTTTTTGCTTAGAATCTTTCAATGGCTTCCCAATGCATCCAGAATAAAATTCAGTCACTTGAGCTGAAGTTCTGTATGATCTGGCTCTGTCTTATTTGACCTTATCTTGTACTACTCACCCTATCTCACTGGTTTTCTGATCCCAAGGAACACACATTCTATTAATGCAGGAACATAGCTATAGGCAAAAAATTTAAGAATGTGGAAAGGGGTACTTGTAAGGAGACGGTTTCCTGGAGGAGGTAACCTTCCAGAGTCTTAATGGCTACTGTTTTTTTAGGGCCTCCTATGTGCTGTATTGTGCTCATTTTAAAAAATAAGCACACACACACTCACATAAAATTTAGGTTGTGCAATAGATGTCATTTTAATGGTTACTAAATTGCAAGAAGCATATAATCACAAGCATTCCTTTTTGCTGGTAAAAAGTAAACTTTGAATTCACACCTCTTCTTTGTCTTACTAGGCAGTCAAAAAGCAATAATGAAACTTGTGTGTGTTTTTCTAAACAAAGTTTGAGAGGAAAATGTTTCAACTTGCACTTTTTATCCAAGTCACTTTTCTGATCTATGTCCTAACCTTTTTTTGGCCATGCCCCACCTAAGCATCTCTAAAATCCTAATGCCTCTCCTCCCCCTATGATATAAAAGCCTAAAGGCCATTAACTTGGTCTAAATAAGCTTCCAAAGAACATGGCATCCATGAAAGAGAAAAAGAACGAAAGGACAGGTGAAGTACCGAGGAAATCACTAAGAAATTGTTTAAAAAAATAATGTGAAATGATATGAAAAAATAGCAAATAGCTTCAAAACATATAATAGAGAACTAAAATGCATAAATATATCACAATATATATTTATACTAGAGGCCCAGTGCACAAAATTTGTGCATTCGGGGGGGGGGGGTTAGAGAGGGGCGTGGTCCTTCAGCCCAGCCTTTGCCCTCTCACAGTCCTGGAGCCCTTGGGGGATGTCCACGGGGAGTGGGCCCAAGCCAGCAGTCAGACATTCTTAGCACTGCTGTGGAGGCGGGAGAAGCTCCTGCCACTGTTGCTGTGCTTGCCAGCCGTGAGCCTGGCTTCTGGCTGAGCTCCCCCTGTGGGAGCATACTGACCACCAGGGGGCAGCTTCTGTGTTGGAGCATCTGCCCCCCTGGTGGTCAGTGTGTGTCATAGCAACTGGCCATTCCACCGCTTGGGTCAATTTGCATATTAGCCTTTTATTATATAGGATGAGACCCCTAGAACCATAAGAAATGTAAAAAATTCAGTTAATAACTCATTCTTGAATTGTTCCCCTAATCCAAGGGGCATGTGCCCCATGTTGGAAACCACTAGTCTAATTGCTAATTCATGAGCCTTCCTGGCTCCTTATAAACAACCACTTATTCATTTAATAATTCACAGAAAATACTTTTTTATTAGATCCCAACATGTCCTAGTATGTATGTAGATTAGAGACTCAGTGATGGACACTCAGTTAGACACCACAAGTTTAATTTCACCCACCACATTGCAGAGAAGGTCATCTAAACTATGGCTAGAGGTTTCCAGTGAGCACTTGCAGGAGTATACTGTTTTCCAAACGTCATTTCTACCATTTGTCCAGTTTTGGCTCTGTGTACCCCTGTATGATTTACTTAAAAAAAAAAAAAATACACACACACAAATTATTTCAGAGGAAGGGAGAGGGAGAGATAAATATCAATGATGAGAGAGACCCCTGCACACCCTCTACTAGGGATGGAGCCCACACCTTGAATATGTGCCCTTGACCAGAATTGAACCTGAGACTCTTTAGTCCACAGACTGATGTTCTATCCACTGAGCCAAGACCGGTTAGGGCTGATTTAATGTTTTTTAATTTACTCAGACTTAATGTCTTTTCCGTTTGAAATAATTTTACTTACAAAACAGCTTGGAAAAAATAGTAAAAAGCATCCCTATATCTTCTTCACCCATATATTCTAAATGTTAAAAATCTTATGTAACCACAATACAATGACCAAAATTAGAACATTAACCATACACTTATCTAATCTACAGACTTCAAATTTCACAGTCTGTCTTACTAATGTCCTATGTCTGGTACAGTATCCAGTGTAGCTCATATGTTGCATTTTGTCATGTATTAGTTTCCTTTAATCTGAGTTCGTCGGTCTTTTTTCCCCTCCATGACTATGACACAGATGTCAATTTACCCGCCACTGATTAGGTATGTTAATTTTGATCAGTTGAGGTGGTAGCTGCCAGTTTTCTCTATATCAAGTTACTCTTTTTTCTATTTAATATGTTGCGAGGAAATACTTTGAAACTGTTTCATACTTTTACCCACTAATTTTAGTATCTATTGGAGATACTTGCCTTAAATAGTTTTTACTGTGGTGATTTCCTAATTCTAATTCCATCATTCTTTCTCCATTTATTAGTTGGAATTCAGTTGTAAGGAACATTCCCTTGTTGCCTATTCATTCATTCATTTTTAAAAGTTACATCAGTATGGACTCTTAGAATCTTAATTTTTATTTTGTGGATTATTATTATATAGTCTTTGTTCTAGTGAAAATTCCAGCTATGGCCATTGGAGCCCCTTCCAATTGTCTCTGGAGTACTTCTGACATAATTTTTGAGCACTTTTCTTTGGCACTACATACTATCCCAGGCTCATCTTGTAGTTTCCTTGCCCGAGCCCCAGAATCTACCATTGCTTCAAGGAACTCTGGAAAACTCTATTTAAAACTCACGAGTTGGGCACAAAAGTGTGCTTGGTAGTACCGCAGTGTCATTGTTCCTAGGTCTTCTCAGCACACAAACTGAGTACATATATCTGTGTCTGGCTCTATGTTTCTGTGTAAAAAGTCATAAGTTCATACTGCTGTTTTCAATTCCTGCTCAAAAATGGGGTTCATTCTTGCCTTCTCCGTTACCTCATCGGTTTTTTATGATAGCCAGAAGTTTGACTCTTTATCCACAGTATATTCGCTTATGTCTTTGCTCAGTCTTAGAGTATATATAATTCCAAAATTCCATATCCACATGGAAAACTAGAGTATAATATTTGTGCATAGTTCTTTCTGAAATTGACTCTGACTTTATCATTATTGATGGAAAACCAGTAATCAATTAAACACATAATTACTTAAAATTAAAAGTGTTCCTACTCCTCACTTGGAAACCACCAGAGTAGATTAACTTGATTTTCCCCCAAATGTTGACTCTGCTTACGAGTTATTGTGTGGTCGTGAGCAAGTTACTTAATCCTTCTGATCTTAAGTTTTCTCACTTCTGAAAATTTTGCTTACTTCTGACTTTTAATAACCAGTTTCTTTGCCTGAGCAGGAAAAAACAAAACAAAAACAAACTATGCTACTAAAGTGTTCTAAGTTAATGGTACAGAAATTGTAGCTGCAAGATCATTTGTACATGAGTAACTGAATTAGAGCTTGGAGTTATTGTCTTAAGTTATGCCAATCATTAATTGATAAACTTAAACCCAGGTACCCTCAGTGTTTACACATGTTAGAACTGCTCCAGTACGAACACTTCCGCAAGGAGCTGGTGAATGCTCAGTGTGCGAAATTTATCGATGAGCAGCAAATCCTGCACTGGCAGCACTATTCCCGGAAGCGGATGCGCCTTCAGCAAGCCCTGGCAGAGCAGCAGCAGCAAAATAACACCTCAGGAAAGTGAAACACTGGATCCAGACCGGCTCCTAGGACTGTATATGTTGCTTCTGTACAGTGAAGACCAAAAAAAAAAACAACACCTCATCTTACCTAATTTCTTGTGCTAGCACTTAGTACCTTTACTGTGCTATTTAATCCAGATTAACTTTTTATTGTCAGTAGATTATTTCTGTTAAGCCAAAACTGTTCTTTGATTTTTCTCTGGATTTGTACATTTTTATTAGTATTTAACACACTCAACTGAGTAAGGACAGAAACATTTGGTGCTTTAGACCAACTTAAGGAGGCAGTGAGGATGGGGCAGAGGGCGGGCCACCGAACATCCTGAATCAGTCAGGCTCTGTACCTAGAGTGGGGACTGGGGAGTCCATCTCCTGGGACCTTCCTGTCCCTCAGATCAGCTGCCCTACCCTTCTTATCTAGATAGTGGAGCCGCTGACTGTTCCTTATCTCCACCTACATAAGGAATAGTCAGTGACCTCTTTAGATCCCAGAGCAGGAGCGGTGCAAAGTTTTTTACATTCTGCCGAAGAGGACATACCTGCATCACTAATTGCTTTGCAAAGAGCTTTAATGGAAGAGTCATTGCTATGTCGCTGACCTAGTGATGGCAGGGAGATTGATAGTTAACTAATTGGACTTGGCCTTAGACTAGAACAAAGATGAGGAATTTCAAATACTTGTGCTCATTTGGTAAAGCTAACATTTATTTGGCAGACACCACAAACCACCACTGTTAATGCTTAGTTGCATTTTCATGTCATTCTTAGAACAATCTTTGTTCAGAAGCAGACTGAGGCTTAGGCAGATTAAGTAACTTGCCTATGGTGACACTGCTAGTAAGTGGTAATCAGAGTGTGATTGAGCACAAGTGGAATCCTTTCTACCGCTAGGCCACCTGCCTCATACAAGTAGTGAAGTACATTCAGTTAGTTTGAAACAAAGCTGCCTGTATGAAGTAGGGCAGTGTTTCCCAAACTTTTGACATATGTGTACCCCTTCTATAATTTTCGTAACACTGAGTACCCCTTGTACTCATGAGAATGTAGAATTAGGCGCAGCTAAGCACGGTGCAGTGCATATCCCCAACAACTCCAGTGCAACGCATACCCCCACCAAACTCTTCCCGTACTCCTGGGGATACGTGTACCACACTTTGGGAAACACTGAAGTAGGGGCTGGATTAGATGTGCTGTGCTGTGGTTAGCTTAAGTTCTGCATTCTAAAGCCAAAAAAGGTGTTTTAAAAAAGTTCTTTGTAAATTCATGGAATTAAAGTTAAAAGATCTAAAATTCAGAGATTTGGAAGTAAATTCCTATTAGGGGCTTTCAGATATTCCTGTTACCTCCAGTAACACATTCCTTTGTGCTATTACTAGCACTCCTAAAGACTTATGTTACCTTATCTTAAAGATATCCATATATTACAAACCAACAGGTTCATGAGTATTTTTATAGCACTCTATTGTTTAGACATACCATTTTTAAAAATCATTGCTTATTTATTTAGGCTTAACATGAATTCAAAGCAAGCATGCAATTTCGTTTATACTAGAATAAATCAGGAAATCAAGACACAATTGTCATAATCAAATCTTAATCTTCAGAGAACAACATCTCCACGAGGTCGGCCTGAAGACATTCAGATTCTACCAGTTTTTGTGGCTGTAAGAGAAGAACAGTCACATCATAACCCACAACTATAAAAATGTTATTAGGAGGGGGTAGAGTTGGCCATTGAGAAACTATTAGCTAGTTGTAACAAGTTTTATGAAACACTTAAGATATCTGCTCTTAAGTTCAGCCATTAAAATACTTGGCTCAAAACTTGGACTAAAACAGGAGACAGCAAGCCCAGTGCCATCCCCTTACCCTCAGTTCTTTAATTTAGAATCCCAGAGTGATGACTAAGTTCCCTTCCTTTTCAGACAGAATTATGGGTTAACAGGAAAGCTGCCATTGATGCTAGTGCTTAAGAAACCATGTGAAAATCAACTTTCTTGAGCTGTGTTTAAAGAATTTTAAATAACCTTTTTTTAAAAGTATGAAAAAGATGTAACATTTAGATGTTTACATTACTAATAGTTTACTGGGATTGTCCATAGGGGATGGACAAATGCACTCTAAACAACACTGTGATGTTTGGATGAAATGTCCATATATGAGTCCAGAATGAGTTAAAAGAGTTTTGACAGGGTGAATTGTAGCCCCAACATAGTTGAAGAAAGATACTCACTGTTCCATATTTAAGGAGTGTAGGCACTGCAGTTATTTTCAAGTTTGTTCTGAAGTCATTATTTGGATCTTTCCAACTATTTTGCAAAGAAAAAGTGACATGAAAAACATTTTGCTATGTTTCTTATATTTGTTTAATATTTGATATATCCCTACATTTAGGTTTTTTTTTAGTAATCATTGTTTTTGTTGTAGACATTTAAAAAACCTTAAGGACTGTGACTTATTCCCCTGTGTAAGTTTCATTTAAAGTGTGATTAAGATATGTATGTAAAGACAATTAAGTTCTGAACTAATACCAGACAAAATTTATTGAGTTGTCCTTCTAATACAAGTGGCTGAACATTCAAAATTTTGATTTGTATTTAATATCTTCTAATTGCTTCAATCATCTGACTGTACCTTAGACACAGAACCAGAGTCCCGGGGCCCTTCCACCTGTTTGAAATAAGTGCAGTGCATATCTGGGAGATAAGAGTATATATTGCCACTTACTAAGGTTTTTCTCCTACTTGGCAGTAGATGAACACACATTCTTCACAAATATGCTTCAGCCCCTCTCGTACGACTGGTTCGGCTTTAAAAAAAAAGTTGATATCAAATAATAACACATTAACTCTACAATCAGGCCCTGATAAACAGTATCCCTCTCCCCTTCCCTCATGTTGCTAAGAACTCAGACCTAAATTGCAGTTAACTGATTTGAAAGCCACTGTAAGAGTAACTACGCCCCAGTCCCGACGCCCAAAAGAATGAAAGGCATATTTGCTGATCTATGCAAAGGACATCAACTCATGTCCTCACTAAGAGGCTAGTTATACTGAGGAAGTGAAAAACTGTAAAGGACTAGGTTTCAAGATTATAATGGGTCGAATGGTAGAAGGCATTCTTGGGGCAGGGGTGCACTTAATGGGAGAAAAGGGAACAAGGTGGGACAAAGAGGCAAGATGCCAGCATAGAAAGCTCTGCGGATCTCCAGGAGTAAGACTCCTTCCTCTGCCATGAACTCCGCTCTCCAGCCAGAATCTCGGCCTGGACTTCCTGCCACTTCCTTTGGGCAGCAGCCCGGAATCCCGGCCTTACCCTCGATGCAGTCGGGGCACCAGCTTTTTCCTTCGGCGTCCTTAGAACCGGTGAAGTAGGCGAAAATGGTCTTGCCTTTGTGCTGCTCCACAGCCCGGTTGAAGTCCTCGAAGCCGGACACCAACACCTCCACGTAAGGAGCCATGGGGAACGCACTCCGGAACCGAGGATAGCCTGGGGAAGGCTTCGGGTAGGACTGCCCAGAGGCGGGGCCCACGTGGGGCGGGACGAACCTGCTTCCGGATGGGCCGAGCACCTAGTGCCTGCAGGAGCCAAGAAGGCTTGGAGAGGGGGACTACGGGGGCCTCTAAGGGCCATAACTCATCCGTACCGCCTTTCTGCTCTCGCTTCTTCGGTTTTCCCGTTCTGGCCCCATTCCGAAACCCTAGCTTCTTTTCTAGTCTGGTCCCGGCCCCAGCCCCGTGTACAATGGCTGCAAAACCTGCTGCCAGGCAGCCCTGGGATCCTTAGGTGGCTCTCGAGTCCTAACGGCTCCCAAACCGCCCAGCGCCCGTTGCCATGGGGACCCGGCGAGCGGCCGGAAACCAGGCCTCATTGAGGTCCCCCAGCCCCCAGCCCCCAGCCCCACGGTCCTGCCTGCTTCCCAGTAGCCTCGCCTCGCCTCGCCGCCTCAGGCCGGGTGGGCACCCGCGGTGTTGGGGGATCCTGGGGAGCTGCGTTAGGAGTCCTGGGCCTGGGGGAGAGGAGAGCTTGACTCAGGGCAGATACTGCTGCTCGTCGCCCCTTTTGACTGTTGTACAGCCTAGGCTTTAGGGTGGGGCCAGGGCTGAAGGGAGGGCGAGCGGGGGGCGCGGGGCGGGGTTGCTGGGAGGAAGTCAGGCTGCGAGGTTGGAGTGGCTGTGAGTGCGAGTGTGCAGCCCGGGTCCAGGTGCCCGGCCGCGTTGGGGGAGATGGGAACTGCCCTCGAGCCCTGAGCCGGGTGCCGACCGGGCCTTGGCCGGGCTGCCGGGGGCGGGCGAGCACGGCGATGCCGGGTCGCTGTGCGGGGCCCAGCGGGCCCGGACGCGGAGCCCGGCGGCCCAGGGGCAAGAAATGGCCTGGGGTGGCCCGGGGGCGAGGAGGAAGGCGCCGGGCGAGGGCCTCGGTGTGGGGGGCCCGCTGTGTGAGTGCGGAGGGGCCGCAGGGCTGTCGGCGGCCGTCTGCGGGGAGAGGAGCGGCGGAGACAGGCGAGGGCCCTGGGGCGAACGAGGCTTCCAGGACCCCGGGCACTTCGGGCTCCACTGAAGCCGCAGAGGCCCCCGGGGCCGTGCTGGTGAACGGGGCGGCGGGGGAGCCCCAGCTGGTGGGGCCTGCCGGGGCTGTGTGGGTGACGGGCACCGGGGACGAGGAGCAGCCAGCTCACCGGAGCCCGCGGGGCAGTGAGAGGAAGGGCCGCCCGGGATCGACGGGGCACGAGAGCATCCTGGAGCTGTGGCTGAGGGTGCAGGCCAGGAGGGCAGCTTTAGGATGTGGGGAAGGAACCCGCGTGGAGCTGCACCCTGTGCCTGCAGGACAAGGGCCGGTGGAAAAGGGTGTGCCTGGCCGAGCTTCGTGGGTAGAGACCAGCCGCCGTGGTCTCACCGGACCGTGGGTGGAAGGACAGGTTAGGGCAGGGCCCCAGGCCTCAGGAGGACCCACAGCTGCTGGCCTAGGAGCAGGATGTGAGAGGCCCTCGGGCTTGCGTGGGCTGGTGAGGTTGTCTCCTGCGGGTGTGCCTGGGGCTGTGGAGACAAGCTCTGGGGTTGTCCCACACCCTCTGGGGAGAGGACAGGCTATGGGTGCGCCTGGAACTGTGGAGGAGCTAAGCTATGAGGTTGCCCCAGGCCTTTGGGGAAAAGGACAGGTTATGGGGGTGCCTGGGGCCGTGGGGTGGGCTGAGGCTGTAGAGGGAGAGGTAGGCCGTGGGGTTGCTCCGGGTCTGTGGGAGAGAGGGCAGTCAGGACCGGTGCCCGGAGCACTGGTTCAGGAGGCAGTCTCTGGGGATAGCTTCTGGGGGTGGGGACAGGCCGTGGGGGTACCCAGAGCTGTAGAGGAAACTCCCCCTGTGGGTGCTCCTGGCGGGTGGCAGAGGAGACAAGCCCTGGAGGAGACAGGCCCTGGTGGTGTTCCTGACCTGTGGGTCTCCAGACAGCCTGTAGGGGTACCTTGTGCTGCTGAAGAGGCAACCAGATGTGGCGGAGACCCGGGATTCATGGAGAGGGGACAGGCCCTGTGGGTAGAGACGGGCTCTGCAGGTGGCCCCGGGTCCTGGGAAATAGCCCAGACGGCAGGGGTGTCTGGTCCTGAGGGTCAGGAGGCAGGCCCCGGGGCAGCACCAGGCCTTTGGCAGGTAGGACCTCGGGCCTTGGGGAAGGAGGCAGGCTGTGGGGCAGTGCCAGGCCTGTGGGGAACATACCAGCCTGTGGGTGTGTCCCAGGCTGGGGTGGTGCCAGGGGTCATAGGGGAACAGACACGTTACGGTGGCATCTCAGGCCTGTGGGACAGGCCGCAGGCTTTGGGGGTGCCCCTGGCTGATGCCGTGCCAGGGGCGGTTGGGGAGGAGACGTGCTGTGAGAATGTCCCGAGTCTGTGGGACAGGAGGCAGGCTGCGGGGGAACAGGAGGCTCTGGTGCCCACAGCTTTAGGGGTACCTGGGTGTATGGACCAGGAGGCTGGCTATAGGGACGCTTCCTGTCCGTGCAGGAGGCAGGCTGCGGGCTTGTCTGAGACGGTGGGGGTGTCCGAGGCTTCGGGCGTGCCCAGGCACAGGTGTGCCCCCATGGGGGCCCCCGCAGCTCCGGGTGTGCCTGGATCTGCGAGGGTGCCTGCCGCTGTGTGGGTGTCGGGCCCTGTGTGTCCGGAGGTCAGCACTAGAGATGTCTTGAGCCTGTGGGGAGGCGCCCACACTGCCGGGACACCCTTGGCTTCTGGGGTCCCTGTGGCTTCTGAGGACCTGGCGGCTGTGAGGGAGGATGCTGGGTCCGCGGCTTTCCCCAGGTTGTGGGGAAGGGGACCGCTGCCTGGGCTCCCGCTGGCTGACAAGGTTGCTGTAGCTCCTGAGGTGCCTGTGCTTGCGGGGGGAGAGACTGGCTCTGGAGGTGTCCCAAGATCTTGGGGAAGGGGACAGAGTGCCAGGGTTCCTATGGCTGTTGAGGTGCCCGCTGCTCCCAGGGTGCCCTGTCCTCTGGGTGTGGAGACTGGCTCTGGAGGCTTCTCACCCTTGCCGGGAAGGAGACAGACCGCGGGGGTACCTGTGACTGTGGGGTTACCTGGGCCTGTGGAGGAGGAGACCCTCTCTGGGGGCCTCTTGGGCTTACTGGGAAGAAGACAGACAGCGGATATGCCTGTGGCTACTAGAGTCTCCATGGCTGTGGGCGTGCCCACAGCTGCTGGTGCTTCGGGGCTGGTGGTAGGGGACACTGGTGCTGGGGATGTCACCGGTGCCTGGGGAAGGAGACTAGCAATGGAGAGGCCCACTGCCGCCCGGGCATCGGGACATGTGGGCAGGGAGACTGGCTGCGAAGGTGTGCCAGGCCTGTGGAGGAGGCCCACTGCAGTGGTCCCCGAGGCTGTGAGGGTACCTCTGTCTTTGGGGGTGCTTGCGGGCGTAGGCGTTCCCGTGGCCGGGCACGTGCCTGCTGCGGTGTGGGTGTCTGGGTCTGCAGGAGAAGCCACTGCTGCTGGCTCAGGCCTCACCGCGGAGACCAGACAGTCTGCCCGGGGACCTGGGGCTTCAGGGGAGGAGATGGGAGGTGGCAGCATCCTGGGGCTGGCAGGGGGGAGCCAGGCAGCGGGGGTGTCTTACACCCATGGGCGTGGGACCAGGTCGTGGAGCTGCCCAGGGTCTGTGGGGGGAGAAGCAGGCTGTGAGGATGTGCCGGGAGTGTCGGGGACAAGAACGACTGGGGAGGTGAATGAAGCTGTGGGTGTGTCCTGGGTTTCAAGGGAGGACATGGGCATTGGCCGCTCCCGAGATCACCCACCGCAGAGGGGGAGGAGACAGACTGGAGGAGTGTCTGGAATGAGAGTGAGGGGGGACACTTGGGGAGAAAATTGTGTGTGGGAGGACAGATTGAGGGGAGCATTCCTGTAAGAGTAGGGAACAAGTTGAGGGGTCCTGGGACTCTTTGGGAGGGAACAGTGTGGGGGAGATTTGTCCTGGGTTGTGGATGAAGTTTCAGGATGTAGAGGCATCTCAGGATGGGCGAGGGAGGAGATACTGTGTGGAAAAGTCCCACAGTATGTGGGGTAACAAATTGGGAGATTTCCTGGAGAAGGGGCAGATTGGAAAGGGGCAGATTGCAAAGAGAAAGGGGTCCCAGGACTTTGTACAGGGGAACAGTGTGTGCGTGTGTGTGTATGTGATCACTCGAGGTATCGGGGAACTGTGGGCATCACCTAGCTTTTTCCTGGTAGAGAAAGGATTATTAGGCCTTATGCATCCCAGGGGAAGGTGTAGACCACATAAAAGTTGCAGTCACCCTGGCCCCAATTCTCAGACTCCTTCATTGTGTGGCTCCAGCCCCTGAACTGTGGTGATACCAAGCCAGTTGGGATTCCTCGTCTATGTACCTCCTCCCATCTTCGTTTTGTATCTTGTTTCTACAGCCTTAGAAATAAGGAATCTTGGACAGCTGCCTTTATATTCCTTCACATGTATCTTGTCTTTAAGCAAGTCCAGTCTACAGATGTTGGGTTTATTCAGAAGCTTAAATTAGGGATTTTTTTTAAACCTGCATTTCCCAGTTGATTTACTATGGGATTCTTTGAGAGAGCAAATTCTTCATTTAACACTAGTCCGTTTATGGAAAATCAGCTTAATTCAACTAATGTTGAGTTAAATTGTCTACTATGCTCAAAGCACTGTATTGTGGGAAATATCAGAGAAGAGCAAGACAAGGAAGGCCCTTACCCTCAAGGAACCTTGTCTAGCTGGGAAGATGAGAAATAAACCTGTGAAATAGGTAAATAACAATGTGAGACAAGTGTGTAATAAGCACATGATGAGTGCAGGGACAATGACAGGTCTATAAGGAGGCCTTCAGTGATAATGAGTAGAGCCCATAACACTTAACACAAAGCTTAACACTGTCCTATCTTTTATCTTCGCTGTGTGTGTATAGAGTGGGGGTAGACGGGAAAAGTGAAGATGTGGAGAGGTCATTCAGGTGGTTAATGGCAGATCCTGGCATAAATCTTGATATTCTGACCCTAAGGTTTACTTTGAGTCATTCAGTTATGTCCTTTTGAGCCACCTAGTAGAGTAAGCGGGACTACCTTTTGACTAGTGGTTGGGATTTATTAATGTAGAGCACGTGTCCATAAAATGCCCTGCTGGGAAGTGCTTATTGACCATAGCGGAGGTCTGTTTTTGTAGTAATATCTTACTAGAAACCCTAGAGATTGGAAATTTGGAATGAAAAGGGCTCTAGAGATTGCCATTAAAGTAGTGTGTCTCCCTCTTCTCTAAATTCAATGCTTTTGTAACTGGAAGTAGCTATCATATACCTATCTTCATATATCATTTGCTCTCTAGTTATACTACTAGAACATAGTTATAAGAGCATGATATTGTGTTTCACTTATTCTTTCCCTTTGAAGACTCTTGGTCTGAAAGTAGCTTTCTTTTATTTTAGGCAACGTTTTTGGGAAAGAACTGTTGGCTGATAACTAGGCTTTCACTATTGTTCTGCGCTCTCTGACATGATGGGACCAGGCAGACCAGCTTCAACTTGTGTTAATCACGCGTCTAGTGTCCAACTAGATGGGAAGAGTGACCCCTGGAGACCTCAGACCCAGGTAGTTGTGATTTTCTTTCCCCTTCATATTTTTATCATGAAACATTTCAAGTATTAAAGTTGAAAGAAACGGTTTGAATCCTTCTAGTTCCAACAGTTGTAACAATTTGTCCTACCTGGTTTTCTCTCTATCTCTAAAATGCAGAACCACTTCTGAGTAAGATGCAGATATGACATTTTGCTTCTAAATATTTTAGAATACTAATCCTAAAAATAATCTCTCCTATTTAACCATGATACCATTATCAAACCTAAGAAATTGACAAAAAAAAACTTCCCTAAGATTACCCAATAACCAGTCTTCATTGAACATCACCCAGTTGTTCCCAAAATGTTTTTACTTCCAACATCGTATTACAAAAATCTTCGAACACATAGCAAAGTTAAATTGCACTGTGAACATCAAGATTCCATTACTATTTCACTGTATTTTTTAATTGCATATCTTTCCTTCAGTCCATCTCTCTAGGATCCATTCATCAACCCAACTTACTTTTTGACATGTCAAAGTAAATTTCAGATACCGGTACCTTAGCTAATTCAGCGTGCATATCATATACTAGAATTCATTCTTTACCATTTTTTTTCATGTAAATTTTACATCTGAAATGAATATATTCATTCGCGTTTGCTGAGTTTTGACAGATGTGTACACCAGTGTGACCTATGCCTCTTTCAAGATTCAGATCATGTCCACAATCCAAAAGGTTCTCTTATGCCCCTTCCTAGTCAACCCCGCCCTTCCCTCCAGAGGCAATCACTATTCAGACTTTTTTCCACCACAGTTAGTTTTGTCAGTTTTAGAACTTCATATAAAGGCAATCCTACGCTGTGCACTCTTTTGTGGAAGAATTTTTTCCACTGGGTACAATGTATTTAAGATTCATCTGTGTGTTGCATGTGTCAGTTTGTTCCTTTTTAATACTGAGTATTCCCGAGCAGGAGTGTGCCAGTTTGTTTATCCATTCTGCAACTGGTGGACACATGGGCTGCTTCTCGTTCAGGTTATTATAAATGAAGGTGCTATAAACATTCTTATACAAATTTCTTTGTAAACATGTTTTTATTCCTCTTGGGTAAATACCTAGAAGTGAAATCACTTGGTCATAGGATAGGTGTATATTTATTTTTATAACAAACCAACAGACCTTTTCCAAAGTGGTTTTACCATTTTACATTCCTACTAACAATGAATAAGAGCCCTTCACATCTTTGCCAACAGTTGGTATTATTTTTTAAATTATAGCCAATCTGGTGGGAATGTAAAAATACCTCATTGTGGTTTACAAAGAAAAAAACACACATATGTATATGTTTTATGTAAATTCCTGAGGATATTTTTCCATTGTTTCTTAGAGTGGAAGCGGAGAGAAGAGATACACAGAGAGAAACATCCATGTGAGAGAGAGACATCAATTGGTCGCCTTCCTCATGTGCCCCTTCTAGGGCCAGGGATTGAACCTGCAACCAATGTATGTGCCCTTGATCGGAATGAATCCAAGACCCTTCAGTCTGTGGGCCAGTTCTCTATCCATTGAGCCAAATTGGCTAGGGCAAGAAAAATATTTTTAATTTTGACATAATTTCAGACTTACATAAGAGTTGTAAGAACAGCCAAGACCGGTTTGGCTCAATGGATAGAGCGTCGGCTTGGGGACTGAAGGGTCTCGGGTTCGATTCCGGTCAAGGGCATGTACCTTGATTGCGGGCATATCCCCAGTAGGGGGTGTGCAAGAGGCAGCTGATCGATGACTCTCTCTCATCGATGTTTCTGGCTCTCTATCTCTCTCCCTTCCTCTCTGTACAAAAACAATAAAATATATTTAAAAAAAAAAAAAAAAAAAAGAGTTGTAAGAACAGAACACAGAATTCCTGGATACTCTTCTCCTAGATTTCCGAAATACTAACATTTTGTTACATTTTCCCTCTCTTCTTCCTTGTCTTTTTCTCATCCCCCCACATTATTTCTAAACTGAGTAAGAGCAAGTTGCAGACATGATGCCATTTTACTAAGTAATTGTGTGTTTTCTAAAAACAAGGCCTTTTCTTATATAATCATAATACAGTGATCAAATTCACATTAAATGATATCAACACCAAAATGATACTGAAAACTATGACAATATGGAAACATGACTATGATAGGTGAAAAACAAACAACTTGTATCTATTATGATTAACATGAATAAAGCTTAAGTCTGGATGAGAAAGTTATAAGTGGACTGTTTGGAGCAAGATGAACTTAGGTGCAGAATAAAAGATGTGGTCTAACCACCGGATGAAAAGTCTCAGGAAGACCTGAAGAGATACTGTCAAATGGCTTAGGTCCTGTGTGGTGGGTGGCGTGGCTGGGAGCAGTTTTGGGAAATGCTCATAATGGATTTTATTGGTCACTTGCTGGAACCTGATATTTTGAAACAGGACAAAAGTCCAGAATTGGAGAGTTGAGGAACTTACTCATGGTTTCTTGAAACTTTCTGGGTTGGCATTTAGAAGCATACATACCAGTAATGTATTAGTAACAGGGTATGGGGAAGCACGGGACTTGATTGGAAAGTCTGTAAAGAGGATTCTCCAAACGGTCAAGGGCCTCTTGGGAGACCTTGCCTTAAGGCGGCAGCCTCTGCCTTGACTTTTCCAAACAAGTTCGAGCCCCTGGGTGTTTTATTGGGATCTCTATGTTTAGTCTTTAGACATGACCTTATAGAAGCATGTGTTTTCTTTAAGATACATTGCTGATTGTATCTAGAGGTTAATTTCAGTTCAAGATGTTGTTACAATAAAAGCCTAAGGAGGCAGACAAACAAGGCAGTCTGATGCCTCTTTCCAGGCAGCCCCTGACCCCTCTTTTTCCAGAAATGGGTGCCAGGGTAATCATTCATCTGTCGCTCAGGGTCTGCTGGTGAGTCCCTGTAACAGAAGGATAATACTGTGGGTCTGAGTGAATGGAGGGTAGAACCAGGGATACGTGATGAATTCAGAGTGTAAGGGAGTGGACAATTTCAATCCTTATAAAATAAAAATACCTCTTAGCACTAATGTGTAAAATCTTAAAAACTTGGTTGTGGACAAATACTAACTATGCAACATATTATTTTTCTAATGTCTGCTTACTTTTATTTTGTTTTAAAGAACCAGCTGCAATTTAATAAGAATGTTCCTACACAGTCAAGCAACTTGGCAATCCGGTATTCTTACCCACATGCAATTAAAATAGAAAAACTGAAGCACTCGCACACTGAGTCAGACCACTATAAAGATTTGGATTTTGGAGATGGTCCTGCTCTAAGCAGTTCTGTTTCATTTTCTGTCGTATCAGAAGAGAGACTTAGCTATGCTGTCCACCTCGCCAAAAGAGATATTAAACGAAGACACTTTGAAGAACATGTAAAAAAATATCATCTCACAAGTCAATCCCAAATCTCTCAGAAATGTGGATGCACCAAGCATACGAAATCTGACCTTGGGCTGGAAAGGAAGGAAATGAAAGAAGCTTTTCATTGCAGCCACCAGCCACCCAAAGTAGAAATTTCCAGCTCAGGTGCCAAGGTATACGTATACACATCTCATGCAGGACAATCAGATTTGACCATGCCAAATTCGCCACCCACCCATGACCCAGGACTGCGACCTCATGGCAGGTCAGGTGACCACAAAAGCCTATGCGAACACAGAAGCCTGCTAGAAGTTCAGCGACTCCAGAAAATATTGAGCAATTGTATTCATAAAATCGAAGAAGTAACAAAAGGTGAGAAAAATTGGTGAGAGTGGAATAGTTCATATACATTCTTTTGCGACCCTCATCCCCATCAAACTCCACTCCCACCTCCTGTCACTAGAGCAAGCACTCATGACCAGACAGGTGGACTTTGAGTTTGACCAGTGTCTTTTTTCTGAAGAGTTTTTCCTGTCCTAGCCCCTCCCTCCATCAGTCAGGTGACACAGCTCCTTTCCTGACTCTGCACTTGATCATCGACTGACCAAAGGCCCAACCTTAGGTGTTCTGGCACCAGATTGCACATCATCCTGTAATAGTTTGCTTCTTTAACCAGAAGTCCTTCTGACAAAATTATTTTTAATTTGTTCAAAACGGAACAATTTCAATGAAAATGTTTCAATTTAGAGAACATTTAGATGAGTACATAGCAGTGACAGGGGAAATGGTGGATATATAAGTAAATATCTGACCGCAGGGTAGAAAGGAAGGTGTCTGTTTGCTATAGTTTCTTTAGTGTTCTCATGTCCTTGTGTTTCCCCCGGGGAGTAGAGCATTGATGCTATTTGGAAAATTGAGAGTTATATAGCTAACAAGTAGGGAATCCTGCTCAGGCTGCAAAGAGGAGAGAGTTGAGCATCACATGGACTCCTGTGCTGGGATAGTACCTAGCCTGTGATAATCTTTGTATACGTGTACGTGTAATGTATATAGGCTTATGTACATATATGTGTAATTTATATACAGTGGTGTATGTATATGTGTAATGTATATATGCTGATGTACATATACGTGTAATGTATATATGCTTATGTACATATACGTATGTGACATGAGGAATTTAAGGTGCCTTACAGAAATGCCTGTGGTTGAACAAGCTAGAACAAACATGTAAATGATATTGTGATATAGGAAAAATTAGGGTTTGTTAGGGATGGGTTACAGATTTGTTTCTGAGTTCCTAGCAGCCAGCTAGAGGAAAATGTGATCAGTTGCAGAATTTACAAAGTCTAAAACAGAAAAAATAATTGTGTAAGGAAAATAATATTGCACATATTGAGGGCAGAAAAGAATTTGTCCTGTGGACCTTCAAAAAGGGTATGTTGTGCTATACTGAACAATTAAAAGCATTCCTACGTCAAAGTAATGGGAATATTAAGATTCATTTCTTACAACATTTCCTCAGTGTCAGTCTGTGGCATGACCCTATGGCATACTTTGTTAGAAGCCATGTGCCCAGGTGAGAAAAGTCACAGGGCCCACTGCTCTGATGATGGGGTTTAATACAGCAGTACCTTTAGAGCAGATGTTCACAAACTCATAGTGGGGAAGGACTGGAGTGGGGTTCTTTTGTGACATTTTTTAAAGTTAAAAATGTCAATCTGTCTCACATAGTACTTTATAAACTTGAATAAGAATCACGACAGTAGCATTCTAATATATAAAAACCCAGGGTTTGTAACAACCAACCGAAGGCTTAACTGAACACCAGAAGTCATCCTGCAGTCACGCAGCACTGACTGCCGAGGAGGTTGTGGATCAGGCCCGGAGAGAGAGGCAGGGTCGGTTCCACAGCCTCCATGGCAGCTGTTGATCAGCGTTGTCTCTCTCTTCCTCTCTGGGCCTCCACAGGGGCATGCTGATGAGCCCTGCCTCTGGTTAGGCCTGGAGATGCTGACTGTCATAGAAATCAACCAATCAGAACCAAATCTGGGTGAACTGTGAGGAGCCAGTAGTTGCCTAGGAGGCAGAGCTCTTGACACTGACTGGCATAGAAATTGACAAATCTGAACCAAATTGGCCTGTAGGGAAGGGCAGTTGGGGCAACCAGGCCAGCAGGGGAGGGTAGTTGTGGGGGAGATCAAGCTGGCAAGAGAGGGCTGTTGACGGCAAAATCCAGCCTTCAAGAGAGGGCAGTTGGGGCAACCAGGCCTATAGGGAAAGCCTGTTCGCTGCACCCAGGCTGGCAGGGGAGGGCCATAGATATCAGATTGGTAGGGGAGGGCAGTTGGGTGCAACCAGGCTGGCAGGGGAGGGTAGTTGGGGGTGAAATCAGGCCAGCAGGGGAGAACAATTGGGAGTGAGATCAGGCTGGCAGGGGATGGCAGTTAGGGGCAATCAGGAAGGCAGACGGAGAGGTTAGGGACAGGAAGGCAGGCAGGCAGAGGGGTTAGGGGCAATGATGCATTATAGAATTGTACAATTTTATTAACCAGCTAGGGGCCCAGTACACGAATTTGTGCACCTTGAAAGGAACTGTGGGCTGCGAGGCTGTAGTGGGTACGAAACGGGTCTCGGCCCATCCTCCCACCATGTGCCCTGGTCCTGTCCCACTCCCGCCAGCTTTGCTTGAACCTGCTGATGGTGCGGAGTGATTGGGGCCGGTGCCAGCAGTGAGTGGGGCTGGCGCTGGCAGTGGGTGCAAGCAGTGGCTCCCGTAGCAGGTTTGAGTGGGGCCATCACCAGCAGCAGGTGTGGCACCGGCAGCAGGTGCAAGCGCCCGGCAGGACCATAGTGTGTGGGAGCAAAGAATTTTTAGTAACTACCAGAGGCTTGCCCCAATGACAGTGACTGGGACCACACTTTGGTCTGGCGCCCTGCTCACCAGCTCCACCCTCCCACCATGGTCAATGCCTGCCATGTTCCGTGCATGCCCCCTGGTTGTCAGCGCACATCATAGCGACTGGTTGTTTTGTTGTTCTGCTACTCGGTTTATTTGCTTATTAGCGTTTTATATATATATATATATATATATATATATATATATATATATATATATATATATATAGAGAGAGAGAGAGAGAGAGAGAGAGAGAGAGAGAGAGACTCTAGAGGCTCGGTGTATGAAATTCATGCACTGGGGTGGGGGTGGAGGCGTCCCTCAGCCCGGACTGCACCCTCTCAGTCCTGAAGTCCTTAGGGGATTTATGACCAATGGCTTAGTGCTGTTGTGGAGATGGGAGAGGTTCCTGCCACCACTGCTGTTCTAGCCAGCCATGAGCCTGGCTTCTGGCTGAGTGGCACTCTCCCTGTGGGAGCACACTGACCACCAGGGGACAGCTCCTGCATTGAGCTTCTGTCCCCTGGTGGTCAGTGCATGTCATAGTGACCTATCATTCTGCTGTTTTGTCAATTTGCATATTAGCCTGTTATTATATAGGATGTCACCCAAATAAATAAAAAAGAAAAAAAGAGAATCATTTGTAAGAGGAACAGTTAAAAACTGTGCCTGAGCCAGTTACCATTGACATCTATATATATAAAAGCCTAAGTGATGGGCTGACTGGTCAGCTATTACGCACACTGACCACCAGGGGGCAGATGCTCAATGCAGGAGCTGCTGAGTGACAGCAACTTTGCAGAGTGCCCTACTGCATTCCAGGGCCCCTTGGGGGATGTCGGACTGCCAGTTTCAGCCCAATCCCCACAGGGCAGCCCAAGGGACCCCACCTGCCAGAGGGACCCTGCTCACTCCACAGATACCACCCCAGGTGCAGCTGGCCGGGAAGGGACCGCAGGAGATGGCTCCAGGGCATGTCTGCCCCGCTGGCCACCTTCTAATTAATTTCCTTTCAGGGTGCACAAATCCATGCACCGAACCTCTAGTATAACTATGTGAACCCAGAGTTTCTCTGTGCAGCCCAACAAGAGAGAAACAGTTTGGTTTGTAAGTGCAGAGACTCTATCTGTATCTACAACCCCTTGATTTCAAATGTTCGATTTTTTCAAAAGTACTTTCACTAGTTTTTAATGAGTAAATAAGAAAAATTTGAATCGATAAAATATACTTACAGAGCACTGCTTCTGTCTGATGGTTTAATGGAATTTTGCCTAAGAATTTGTGTTGTAGACATATTTGAAAACCACTTACTGGAAAGGAGTGGATGAGTTGTACATCCCTTAGTTAGTCTTCCAGGAACACTTTCTTTGAACTAACCTTTTGAAAATGGGGTACACAGTGTATGCGAGGAGGGGTTCCTAACAAATATGTGAAGGCTTCGGACAGTCATGTAATCTTCATATGTTGGAGAAAGAAAGAAATCTTGAAAAACAGAAATGGGCCATTCAAGTGTTTTTGAAAAAGTAGAAAGCATTATAGATTTTGGCTCAATACGAAGAATTTTAAAATAGTAAAGGGTACCTCAGTGGAGTTTGTTTCAGGGAATCCCTGCCTGGAGGGGAACTTGACCTTGATAATGTCAGCATGGCTCTTCCATCTCTGTCGTTATAGAGGCCCCCTTATTCCTGATTGCTTGGCTGATGAAAAAATGACATTTATTGTTACTACAGCTTCATTTTTCTTCTCAAAGTAGAGATCTTCAACTTCATTATCTCTGAGTAACTGAAATTTTTTAAAGTTTTTATGTTTGGTGTATAACCCACTTCGGGGGATGGGGTATTTTCAGATAAAATGGAAGAAGCTTTGGATCCAGATGAAGAACGGCGAATCCGGGTCAGGAGGCAGGAGCAGACGGTTCGCTCTGCCCGGACGCTCTACGTCCTCCAGCAGCAGGTGAAGGCGGAGGGGGTGGGGGGACCTTCAGCCTGTGTTACCTTCGCAGAGAGTTTGTTTCCCTTTTGTCTCAGGAATATTAGCACCTCGGTATCCTCCATGAATTCTGACGTGTTTGTGAGGCTAAATTTCCTGAACACATGGGCAAATAGCTCATTTTCTTTTTGCCATCTGCCTTTATGTGCATTTGTGAATTATGTGTATATAGCCAAATCTTTAAATAGTGGTTTTTGACTTTTTGGTAGCATAGACTCTTGAGAATCTACTAAAAGCCATGGTTCTTTTCCCCAGAAAAAATGTTTGTACAGCACATACATGATGAAGTCAAGGGGATTAGTTCCCCTCAAACCCTTTGTTTTTAGTTATGAGTCCTAACCCCATCTGTCTCATGTTAGTTATCTACTAGAAGCTTAGTAAATAGTAAATAATTTAATCATCTTTATTGAGTAGTAAAGAATGAAGACCATGTTAAATATCTTTCAGGACACATTTAATGGCTGATAAATGGGCATTTATATTGTTGATGGGTTTGTTTTTTTAAAATGTGTGTTTCAATTTTAAGGCCTTACTCACGAATAAGTCTTTAACTCATTTCTGGTCACTTTAGTCACATGTTGGCCTTACTGCTTAACCAAAACCTGGACCTTTTTATTTAAAAGAAAATGTGTGAGTTAGGTTTTGTTCTGTATTCTTATTGGGTTGTATTTGGGTCCTTCCTTACTCTATATTGCTACCATAGAGATTGTTTTAAAACATAAATGCTACCCTGTCAGACCTCTGCTGTAAAGACGCCCATGGCTCTGTAACAGGACCCACTGAGGACTGACCCGGCTCCTACCTTTCAGAGTCACCTGCACCTTCCCTCCTTCATGTTTGGTTCCTTTTACACTGGGGACGATGGATGGAAAACCAATTATCTATTTTTGGGGTACATGAATGAAGATCCTTGTCTCATTTCAAGTGACTTGAAATAATAATGGCTATATTTGGACAAGACAAGCTATTTCCTTTTCTATAAAAAAAAGATCAATGAAAAGGTACAAAGTTTTTATTTTCCCCCCCTTTACAACACAGGTTAGAGAAATCCAGGAAGAATTGGATAAATTGAGTCCACATAATATTAAACACACTAAGAAGGTATGATGCAATTTAATTATGACTGATATTATTTCTAAGTTAGATTTCCAATGTTTTGTTAGTATCATGTGTGTTCTCTGTGCTAATACCATTTTCAGTGCTTGTAGAAACCGCTTAGTGAGGGCATTGGCACCATAACTTCTGAATTGGTGGTTGTCTTTCAAGGAACAGTTTTTGAAAATAGACTGTTGTTGTTGCTGCTGGTGTAAAGAAATGAAGAATAGGAAGAAAATGATTTTGTCATTAGAAATCTTTAAACTTTACAGTTCCCTTTACTATGAAAAAATTTTCACCTTAGAAATAGTTTGATATAGAAAAGAGATAGGCCAGTGGTTCTCAACCTGTGGGTCATGCCCCCTTTTGGGGTTGAATGACCCTTTCACAGGGGTGGCCTAAGACATCCTGCTTATCAGATATTTACATTACGATTCATTAACAGTAGCAAAACTACAGTTATGAAGTAGCAACGAAAATAATTTTATGGTTGGGGGTCAGTCACCATAACATGAGGAGCTGTATTAAAGGGTGCAGCATTAGAAAGGCTGAGAACCACTAGGATAAACTGTAAATATCCTTACGGGTGGGGTTAAGATCAGGAAGTTCTGAATATGGAAATAACTTCTCATATTTCACTCATTGCCAGTCACGGGCAATGTCCAGGCTGGCATCTGCCTATCGAGGAGCCATTCGGGCCTTACAGGTGTTTGTCACTCAGTTTACTGACCGAGGGGAGCACCCAGTTCCTGCTCAGTACAGGGAACTGGGCAGTCTTATCCGCCAGCTCTCACTCTGTTCTGCCAAAATGGATGCTGATTCTTCCGTTTCTGATGTGGTGATAGATATCCTGCAACAAATTGAGGTATGAAATTGACTTATTGTTGTTAAAAATGCATTGTTTCTTGGTTTGTTTTTTTTTTAATTTTCACCCCAGGATATGTTTTTATAGAGAGGAAGAGGGTAAGGAGAAGAAAGAGAGAGAGAGAGGAAGGGAGAGAGGGAGGAAAGAAGGGAGGAAGGGAGGAAGGGAGGGAGGGAGGGAGGAAGGGAGGAAGGGAGGGAGAAAGAGAGAGAGAGAGGGAGAAACATTTATGTGAGAAAGAAACAGCCATAGGTTATCTCCCATATATACTCTGACTGGGAATTGAACCCAAACCACAACCTTTTGGTGTATGAGATGATGCAAAAGTACGTTTTTTTCTAAGCAGGGAAATAATATTTACCATCTCTAAGTTTCATTGAGGTTATGGAGAATACCATACAAAGCTGCTACAACTAGTAAATTAAAGCTTTACTGAGGGTAGTAAAAGGATTTCATTTTTTTTAAAACTAGAAATAGTTAGGAATTTTTTCTTTTTTAAATATATTTTTATTGATTTCAGGCAGGAAGGGAGAGGGAGAGAGAGATAGAAACATCAATGATAAGAGTGAGTCATTGATCGGCTGCCTCCTGCACATCCCTACTGGGGATTGAGCCTGCAACCTAGGCATGTGCCCTTGGCCAGAATCGAATCCAAGACCCATCAGTCCACAGGTTGAGTATCTATTGAGCCAAACCAGCCAGGCTGGACTTTATTTTTATTTTATTGTTTTTATCTTCTAGTCCAGCTGCCACCGACCTTTCAGACTTCATGGACCACCGTTTGGCTACCGCTGGTCTAATCTATCATAATTGTCTTTCACGTCTTTGAGAATTAGTCAATTGAATCTACAACATACAACCACTCTTTACCAGGTCCATTAATTTACCAGGTCCATTAATTTAAAGGAATTTTCCATTTCCTGACTGTGCCATTTAATAAAGAATTCTAGCAGAGAAAAGGAAAAACAGTAAAACAATCTTAAATTAGTGTTTTAGTTAGAATATTAGCATGTAATCTAGAGAGATTTGTGGAAAAAGACATTTTAAGATGTATGGAAGCAGAGCCTCAAATCTTGTGATATGGCTAGAAACTTCAGGAAATCACAGTTGGCAAGTCCTAGTAAGGAATGGATAGTGTTCTTCCTTCTTACTGATGACAGACGACAAGGACAATATGGCCTTAATCTTGATAGTTCTCCGAAGTTCACAGAGTGCTACCACATAATTTTGCCATTTTATCCTGACTGCAGTGCTGCGATTTGCAGAATGTCTTATTTTACAGATAACATTTTTTAAAAAGCTAAGGTTAGATAGATGACACAATTACTTTCCTTGAGAGCTAGGAATCAAATTCCTATCTTCTGCTTTCATGCCACTGTTATTTCCACTACACCACATGTTTTCAGCTACAAATAAAAAGACGACCTGCTGTCAGTGTGACACAGCAGCTGTGGGCTGTAGAGGAAAGGGGCTGTAGTTTGGAGAATTGTGGACTGAGTGGCACACCAGTGTTACCATTAACTGGCCCGTGGCAGTCGTTAAGGCTCCTTCTGCCTTTAAAAGTCCATTATCCAGCATATGTTCGTGCATGCATTGGTTATGTTTGGGTAGTTAGAACTCTCTATCAAGAAGGTTATGGTCCAGTACAGACCTCTAAACAGTAAGTATATCAAGTCATGTGATGTTTTTAAGACTTACCCATAAGAAACATTTATTGGTCAAAATTATTTCATTTAGAGGATATATATTTATAACCCTAGAAAAGATGGCAAGAGATTATCTAGTCATTTTCCCACATTTTGAGCAAGAGTGTCTTAATTTAATGTTTCGTAAACACAATGTCTGTTTCTCCTATGTTTGAAAGTATTCCATAGTGCAGACAGTTTATTCTTGTTGACGTATTGTGCCATCCCACAGCTTATCTTTTCATTGCCTTCCTGTCATCTGAACTAAACCTCCCTGGCTTCTTCAGTTGCCTTTAATTTGTATAGGCCAGATGGACACTAGGCCCTTACTGCCTGGTCATGCGTGAGGGGGGTACTGTGTTAGAGGAGTTGCCTCCTTTATTTTTATTTATTTATTTATTTATTTATTTATTTATTTATTGCTTATTACACATGGTTTATTTTAATCTGTGCAATGATCAATTGAGGTAGGAACAACTATTATTTTCCCTATTTTTAAAAAAATATATTTTATTGATTTTTCACAGAGAGGAAGAGAGAGGGATAGAGAGTTAGAAACATCGATGAGAGAGAATCAGAGAATCAGCGATCAGCTGCCTCTTGCACACCCCCTACTGGAGATGTGCCTGCAACCAAGGTACATGCCCTGGACCGGAATCGAACCTGAGACCTTTCAGTCTGCAGACCAACGCTCTATCTACTGAGCCACACCGGTTTTGGCGGAGTTGCCTCCTTTAGAAAGCGGGCACAGCTCTGCCATTGTATTATAGTAATGAGTGAGCAGAGCCACTGGACACACAGAATTTCCTTTAGTTTATGAAAATGCATATTAAGTGTTTGCCCGCTTAAAATTATTTGAGTTTATGAGTTTTTTATTGAGAATTAAAATGCTTTAAAAGCATGCAGGTTTATATTCTGAAAACTATGGTTAGTATTTAAAATGGTGATCCTTAATTTTAGGACTTGGGTGCCTTTAAAAGTATCCATATTTTGCCCTGGCCAGTTGCTCAGTGGTTAGAGTGTCAACCTGCACAGTAAAGGGTCACAGGTTCGATTCCTGGTGAAGGGCAGATACCTGGGTTGCAGGTTCGAACCCCTCCTTGGTCGGGTTACATGTGGGAGGCAACCAATCGATGTGTCTCTCTCACCCTTTCCTCTTCCTCCCTTTCACTCTCTAAAAATCAATGGAAAAAATATCAGCAGGTGAGAATTAACAACAAATTGTATTCATATTTTGTATTTTTTTGCTATGATTTTAGTGAGCTTCACATGTAAAAGCAGAATTTCTTTTATTAACTTGATGTCCTAAATATTAAAGTTTTAAAGTTAAGTTGAATAGTGTTTTCTTAATCATTAGAAATAGCCTTTGATAACACATTTCTCTGGAGTCTTCATTTTCAGTCTTGTGGTTAAAAGTCAGACTTTTTAATCACTAAGAGATATACTAAAAGAATAATTGACTGTTTCATGGCAGGCTTTGGAATCCCTCTTGGAAAAGAAACTGTCACCACAAAAGATGAAGAAAAATATTACTGAAATTAGCAGCAGATTTCCTGTTGATAGCCCACGGCCCTTGGAGAGATGGCAGAGTGCATTGCCAAAGAGCGAGAGGAGACCCTGTGTAACAAAGAAGATACTTCCAAAGGAAACAAGACAGCCTTCAGTGGCAAAGAAGGTTCTTGCTGGTATGTGTCCTAAAGTGTTCATTGCAAGGCATTTTATTTCTTGGAATTGTCTGGACTGTAACATTGGCTACAATGAGGGAAAAGTTAAGATTTAAAACCTAGTCCTCAATAGGTATACTTGAACAAGACTGGAATATTCTTCCATAGGGGACCTTTTCCTACATACAGCATTTGGGCTACCCAAAGTAAATTTCTACAGAGCTGGAAGTTAGAGCCCTACTTTAATTTTTAATTTTAACGATAGATAAGTAGATAGATATATAGATAAAAAGATACATATATATCCAATGTGCATGTGTATATCTTACATTGGATATATATGAATCTTTTTATATACATATAAGTATATCTCTTTAGCTATATATATAAAAGCCTAAGTGAAGCTACCAAATGACTGAACAACCAAATGATCAGTCGACCAGTCACTATGATGCACATTGACCATCAGGGGCAGATGTTCAATGCAGGAGCTGCCCCCTGGTGATTAGTGTGCTCCCACAGTGGGAGCACTGCTCAGTTGACTGACAGGTGCCCAGATGCAGGGCTCACAGCTGGCTGCCATAGCCCGGAGACTGCAGCAGAGTGGCAGTGAGCCTTCCAAGTGGCGGTGGCAGCAGGTGCAGTGGGGCTGGGATGAGCAGGAGCAGCAGGCAAGAGCGATCTGGTTTCGGCCCAGTCCCCCCAGGCTATGTCAAGGGACCCCACCCCCACCAGTGCACAAACCCATGCACCAGGCCTCTAGTATAATAGTAAATTCCTAGGAAGTGGAATTGCTAGCCTATGTGGTGTGTACTATCAGATATATACTGGCAACTTGTCCTTGAAAGTGGGCATAAATTGTTTTTTTTCCCAGTCTCTCAGTGGAAAATGGTATCTTATTGTATCTTCCTGATTCCTAGTGAGGAAGATTATTGTGTCTTTCATGTGTTCCTTAGCCATGTCTATTTCCTCTTCTAGAATGTATAGAAATTTTTTATATAATCAGGATCTTAGTTCTTTTATGGTATACATATATTATGGATATTTTCTCTTAGTTACAATTCTCTTTTGCAATTTGCAAAAGAATTCTCTTTTGCAATTTGCTTATAATACTTTTTCTGGTACAGAAAATTTTAATATTTCATGAGGCAACTTTTTCTTCTTTGTTCTTTTTCAAAATTTTGCTGATGGTGATTGCTTATCTTCAGAGGAATTTTAAATGAGCTTGTCTAGTTCCATGAAAAATGCTGTCGGGATCTGGATTGGTATTACATGGAGTTCATGGATTATTTAGGGGAGAAATGGCATCTTTAGTATAGGAAGTGGGCCCGTCATTTTATCCATGTTCTTTTTCCATCTCTTTAGTTGAATTTTATAATTTTCTGCATTCAAGAATTTCTGACATAGGAATACATATCACGTCAAAATTCCTTGTTAGATTTATTTCTAATTATTATTACTCTTGGGAATGGAACCTTCTTTTTTATTAATTTTGAAATTGGTTATTGCTCCTTATAGGAGAGCTATTGAATATGTACATTGCTCTTATGTGTGACACTTGGCTGAAATCTTTAATTTGCTATGAAAAGGTATACATTTGAACATTTCAGAAATTGGGATACATTCTTAAATTGACGATATCATAATTAATTGGCAGTATTTTATAATTTGCTATTGTGCATAAAATAATGTTTATACTCAGTGTTTTAGGTTTGATGAAATATGAGATTTTGTTAGTTGATACTTCTGTATTTTTCCAAATAGATGAGATCACCTGCAAATAACTAAAGCTTTGCCTTTCTTTTTATAATTTTTATACTTTCCTTCTTTCTCTTTCTGCGTTGAGTGGGTTTTAATTTAGTAATAGTTCTTATGGCAGGCGTTATTTTGCCTCCCAGATTTAATGGGAATGCTTCTCCTTTTTCTTTAACTTTATAAACTATGTTTAATTTCAGTATGTATCCATTGAATATTATTGATAATTTACTATAATCATCAACACAAATTTTAAAAAACCAGAATTGCATTGCACTGTACTTGCACAATTGGTTAATGTTTATAGTACTATGTTAGAGATTAATGGATAAAAATTATTTTAGCACTTGCATGAACATCATTATTCTCTGTACTTTATTCCTTAAGATTCTATTTTGGTGCTTTTTTAAATTTTATTTTTAAATTAGTTTACATTCAATATTATTTTGTATTTGCTTCGGGTATACAGCATAGTGGTTAGATAATCATTTACTTTACAGAATGTCCCTCTGATATTTCCAGTACCCACCTGGCATCATACATAGTTATTAAGACATTATTGACTGTATTCTCTATGCTGTATTTTACATCCCCTGGACTGTTTTGTCTCTACTCCTTTTCACGCAGTCCTCCTACTCCCTCTCTTCTGGCAACCATCAGTCTATTGTCTGTATCTATGAGTTTGTTTCAATTTAGTTTGTCCATTTATTTTGTTCTTTAGAGTTCACTTATAAGTGAAATCATATGGTATTTGTCTTTCTCTTACTGACATGAAGATTATTCTTTTTTATGGCCAAGTAATATTCCATTGAGATATTACCTCCCCTTTTTACCCACCCATTTACTGGTGGGCACTTGGGTTGCTTTCATATCAAGGCTATTGTTAATGACACTACAGTGAACACAGGGGTGCATATATTCTTCTGAATTAGTGCTTTGGATTTCTTTGGAAATAAACCTAGAAGAGGAATTGCTGGGTCATAAGGCAGTTTCATTTTTAATTTTTTGATGAACCTCCACACTGGGAGTCTTCCCTTCTCTTGAATTTTTTGGAATTGTTTGAGAAAGGATAGGTGTTAGTTCTTTGAATAATTGGTAGAATCCCCCATTTGAAGCTATGGTCTAAGACTTGTTTGTTGGCAGATTTTTAATTCCTGCTTTGATTTAGTTGCTGTGCAAGGCAGCAATTTAGGTGTTTACCTATGTGACCATCTTGGTTTCTCTCCTAAAGTCTTTTTTGATACATGAAATTTTCCTAATTTCTTATATTTTTATTCATTTTTGTTTTTTATATTTTGAAATTGTGCTGTTAGGTACATAAGAGTTCCTGACCATTAAATCTTTTTTGGGGATTTTATATATTATTCTGTTTCCCCAAAAATAAGACAGTATCTTTTATTAATTTTTGCTCCCAAAGATGCACTAGATCTTATTTTCAGGGGATGTCTTATTTTTCCATGAAGAAGAATACAGTACACATTTATTGTTAAATGAAAATAAAGGAAATTTATTACCTGTATATGGTATGGTAGTACGGTAGTTGTCAACACAAACCAGACAAACTGAATCCTACGGTATCAAGAATTTGCTCATTTATTCAATGATAATCACGTCATCATCTTCTGGAACATCACCATAACAATCCAATTCCTGAATTTCCTGGTGAATTTCTTGTGACTCCATTTCTTTCAGAATCAGTGAACCAAATCTCTCATGTTTAGCTTGGGGGGATGCCTTATATTTTTTGGGGGGATACCTTATATTTCACTCAGAAGGAAACCTGTAAGTAGGTCTTATATTCAGAGGATGTCTTATTTTCGGGGAAACATGGTGGTAGTAGTAGTAAATATTTCTCTTCGTCTTCTTTAATGTTATTCACTTTGGATTCTGTTCTGTTTTGTTTCATCTACCTGACTTGTTTGGCTTAAAATAATAGCTTTCATTCCTTTATGTTCCATCTTCCTTTGATGTTTTATTTTAAGAAAGTTGCTTATAAATAATTTGGTGTTTTAAGCCCTGTAATACAGTTCTATATTTAACCTACTTACATTTACTGACTAATGATGCATTTGAACTTTTTAATTTTATTTTATGTTTTTTATTTGTCAAGGCTCCCCCCCCCCTTTGTTGTAATTGATTATATTAATAAATATTTTTTGTTTCATTGTGTTTCCTCTACTGATTTAAAAGTTATATGTCACTTCAATTTTCATTTGATTTATTTAGTAGTTTATTGTACCACCTCTAAAATGAATGTAACAAAAATGAATTTGATGCATTATTATTAGACATTTATTCACTATAATGTGATATTCTCTTCATTGTCAAGCAATTGGAACTAATATAGCATCTGCCTGTGCCAGCCTTTTCCCTTCAGGACAAGTATCATGTCTGTTTGCCATTGTGTCCTTTATGACCAGCCCAATGTCTGGCACAGCTAGGCACTTGGAGAGTGAAAGGGTACCTCATTGTTTTAATTTGGATTTCTCTGATTCTCAGTCATTATTTTTTCATGTTTTTATTAACAGTTCAGCTTTTCTTTCTATATTGCTGGTTTCTATCTTTAGTCTAATTCTCTATAGGATTGCTTATTTTTCTTACAGATTTGTGGATCTTCTTTATATATTCTGCATATAATTCCTATGTTAATTATTTGCGTTACAGATCTCTACTTCCAGACTCTTAACTTATCTTTTACCTAGATGATGTGTTTTTGTCAAAAGGAAATTGTAGCATAATATAATTAAATTAAATATCTTAATATTATATATGAGTTTAAGAAAGCCTTTTCTGTACTGATATCATAGTCACAGTCTTCCTGTATTTTCTTCTCAAAGCTGTAAAGTTTTCCTTTTACATTAGGTCTTTGTTCCATTTAGGATTTAAGTGTTGTTCACTGAGAGGCAGGGACCCTGTTTCATTTTGTTGCCTGTGGACACGGTTAGTCTTAGCACTGATGTTCACGTTGCCTTTGTCATAGCCATTTGCTCATTGGTTCCTGCCTATTCGTGCTTCACTCCCACTCTGCCATGATTCTTACAGCTTTACCATGAACACTGCATCTCTGGTGGAATAAGCCGCCCACTCCTTCCCACTCCATCCTCTTTTATTGTGCTTCACAATTATTTGGGCTATCTTGGGTTTTCTTCTTCATAAGATTATTAAGGTTAGATTTCCACCAAAAAAAAAAAAAAAGTAGGGATTTTAATTGGATTTGCATTGAAAATTATAGATTACTTTGGGGAGAATTGACATCTTTCCAGTATTTTTCCATTCATGAAAATAATTTATTCATATCTTCTTTTTTTCACATTGTTTAGAAATACCTTTAATTTTTTTAAAAAAGTATTTTTACTGATTTCAGAGAGGAAGGGAGAAGGAAAGAGAAAGAAACATCAATAATGAGAGAGAATCACTGATCAACTGCCTCCTGCAAGCCCTCTATTGAGGATTGAGCTGCAATGCAGGCATGTGCCCTTGACCAGGATTGAACCCAGGACCCTTCAGTCCGCTGGTTAATGCTCTATCCACTGAGCCAAACCGGCAAAAAATATCTTGAACTTTTTTTCTGTAAAAGTCTTGTATATTTTTTCTTAGTTTTCTTCCTAAGTGCCTTATAGTTTTTGTTGCTAATGTTAATAGGATTTATTTCTCTTACATTTTCTCATATTATTTTGAAATATGGGAATGATGCTGGGTTTTATATGTTTTTCTTCTTTTATATAGAATATTTGCTGAACTCTCTTTTTAGTTGTAATTGTTTGCCTGTATATAGTCTTGATTTTCTATATAGTAAGCATTATCTCATCCTCAAAAAAGGCGGTTTTATTTCCTTTACCGTTGCAGGGTGTATGTCCTGTATGGAGTTCAGACTCTATTCGGTATCAAATTTGAAGCCATCAAAAGTTTAGACAAATGACACTTAAATATTTACTTTTTCTATTTTTAATCCTCACACCAGGATATGCTTACTAATTTTAGAGAGAGGGGAATACTGAGAAAGAGAGAGAAGCATCCATGTGAGAGAGAACATTGATTGGTTGCCTCTGTATGTGCCCCGACTAGGGATCAAACCGCAGCCTTTCCGAATATGGCATGATGTTCCAACCAACTGAGCAGCACTGGCCAGGACAATATATTTACATGTTAGGAAAGACCATTTTGGTAGCCAGGTGAAGGTGTGATTGAAGGTGAAGGGGTTAGGAGATGCTGTCATTGCAGTCAAAGGTATCGCAAGCCTGACCTTGGGAAGTGCAGAAGGGGAGGAAGGGCAGAGATAAGTATGAGATATTTTAGAATTGGGGTCAAAGGGACCAGGTGAGTGACTAAATGTGGGAGATGAAATTCAGGAAGTCAACCCTGACAGGGTTCCTGCTTGTAGAAGTACAGTAGAAGTCAGAGGAGGAGGAGCAACTTTGACAACAAGGAGCGTGCCTGTCTGTAGACAATCATTCTCTCCCACTTGGTGTGAGTACAACTTCCCTCAGTTTGTCCTTTTGAAATCTCCATATAGATAAATATCCACCTGAGGAAGAGCTTCCGCGGACCCCGGGGTCGGAGAAGGATCTTGATGCATTAGTTGGGGATCTCCTTCCAGTGGAAGCTCTGACTGTTCCAGACCAAAATGCAAGCTTCAAAGAAGAACCATTAGCCCCGGCAAAAACCAAAGGAGAAGGGAAGAGGCCTGTGACTGACATTGTGAAGAAAGAGGCTCTGGCACCAGCAAGATCCCAGCAAGTATGAAATCACTTCTTTCTTTTGGCCCAAAAGAAATATCCACCTGACACTCCAGCGTCACACGGGCTGTAAGGTGGAGCCAGGATTTGAGTTCTTAGACATTAAATGCCAGAGCCCTTGAGACCAACTACCTAAATTAAGCTCACTTAGTCCAACTACCTAAATTAAGCCAGGTCACCTGGCTCTGGGTTTTTTTTTGTTTTTTGTTTTTACCAGAAATAGCAATTTTTAACATTGTTGCTAGGATAGGATACTCTCTCTTATCCTGGTTTGCTAATATCCTAACTTATTTGATACCAAGGTCCTAATCAGACAGGCTATTTCAAAATTTAGGTTTTTCTGCTTCTGATTTAGAAGTGTGAACTTTGAGGAGATTAAGATTTGGTTCCTACTAAAGATAAATATTGGTAAATAATAACTACTCAATATTAAAAGCATCCTAGGGTGAGTACTTTCTAATATGGCTTTGGAAGCCAGCTGGCTTGAAACTAGATTATATTTTAAGCTTCTAGTTGAAATTTAACTTAAAAGGCCCTACCAGTGGGGAATGGCCAGAACACCAACCTCATAGTCTAAATATCCTTTATGTGGTTCTTGCCATTTAATGGTGCTGTTCGGGGCTTCTGTAGCAAACCTATATTATTTGGTGACCACAGGAAAAGGAATTAGCAGTTACCACCAGTTACTGACGAATCATGGATTTGGATCGTCTTTATTCCTTTCCAGTCACTCTGTGGGGGTCATTGGGAAGTCAGAACTGAGCCTGTGAGAATGAGCTTGGTGTTCTTTTCAGAGACACCTCCTTTTCTGTAACATTGTAATACAGCCAAAATCATTCTGTGTAGATGAAACAAGCCTTTCTACCTTTGTCGTCATACTCTTCATTTAACCTTCTAGAAACTTGTGAAGAAAATTATCTCCTGCTTCTATGCCCTTCCTTGTTTCACTGCCCTAAGTATATTTTTGTTATAGTCAATAAATTCCTTAAGTCAGTTGGAGAAAGACAACTATCATATGATCTCACTCATTTGTGAATCTAAAGAACAAAATAAACTGATGAACAAAATAGATCCAGAGACATAGAAACATGGGAAGTCTGATGAATTGCAATGGGAAGGTAGGGGTGGGTAGGAAGAGATTAACCAAATAATTTATATTTATATATTATATGTGTACCCCATGGATACAGACAATTGTGGGAGTGGGGGATGGGCTAGTAGGGGTCGGGGGGAAGAAAGGGGACATCTGTAATACTTTCAACAATAAAGATAGAACAAACAAAAAAAGAAATTATCTCCCATTTTACAGATGAGAAACCTGAAGCTCAGAGAAGTTAACCAAGAACGTTTTACAGTTTAACTCTCTTCTTTTGGTTTTATTATGAGAACATATATCAAAAGATGGCAAAACTATGGATTCCAGTTTTGCATCTCCCCTCCCCCCTTACCAACATTGTTTTTGTGTCATTTACACCCTCCCCCAAATTTCCACCTCAGTGCTTCCCAGTTAGATTTTTGCTGAATAGATGCATGAATAGCACAGGGGCACTTGAAGCTTCAATAAGTCAGTTTCTTTGATATCCATTTGGTTTGATAATTCATATTTCTCTCTCACAGGGACTTCACAAAGCTGAAAAAAGTAGACCAACCCAATCTCAGGGCAAAAGCAGGTTGCATCAGACAACAGTTTCATCCAGATTAAAAATAAACCAACAGCCTGTGAAAGACAGTAGGGCTCCTTGGATACCTCCAAACCCCACGTCCCCACAAGCGTCTCCTAAATGGTATGTAAAAATTCAAGGGACCATTTGGGTATGTGACTTTATTTTTCCTTCACAGGTCAAAGACCACCTATTGCTTAGCGCAAATAAAACAGCAGCCTTCGTTTCCATTAAGAAGTTTTTCCTACTTGACGACGGGTAGTGTGGCCTCCATGGGCCACCCAACACCTTGTGGATGTGTCATTGTATGGAGGCTCATAGGCTTTCCTCACTGTCTTTTCACCTAATACATTCTAGGAACTGTGCCTCCCCTGTATCTGAATGTCCGATGCCTAGCACAGTACCAGGTACTTAGTAAATTTTAGCAGGAATTCAGTACGTCTTTGCTGGATGGATGAGTGAATATTTCAAAGTGATTCTAATTCCAGATAATGATGATTTACAAAACTATAACGATCTCACAGACACTGTCTGACTGCAGGGGACAGTTGGGATAATGCTGACATTATTATTGTGTCACCTCATTCCCCGCAGCCAGAGAGAAGGTATTGTCCTCCGGGGACATCGGGTCCGGTTAGGTGGGAGTAGTCTTTGTGGAGTTGGTTAGAGGGGAACTTGTTTGCCATGGCACAGAAGGAAGTACAGGAGGTAGGACAGTAAAAGGAAGGCAGCAAAAAGCAATAATGTGGAGAGCAAATGAGTGAGAGGTTAAGTGACTGAAGGGGTCGGCCTTTGGGGGCTGGCAAAGGACAGGGTAAGAAGCTTGGTAGAATGGATTTCCCTTAAGGTTGAATGATTCTAAATGAATGGTTCTGCTTATCCATCAACTCTCACTTTAAAGGCGAAGAAGCAGTGTCTAGAGAATTTACTGTCTTCCTTACATAGCAGAGCTAGGACTCATAACTGGTCTTCTGAGTGCACAACGTGCTTTTTTAATTTTTATTTCCTCTACATTCTGTCTTTTATGTATAAGTTAGTTTAGAGATGTGAATTCAGTTGGTAAACATCAATTAGCTGAAATTTATATTTCAGCTGAGTGTATGTGTGGTGGGTTGGGAGGGGAGTCACACTTTTTAGTGACCAAAGCTGGGATTTGAATCCAGGCAGTCTGCCCTGGATGGTGTGTTATTCTGGTTGCTAAGCACAGCAGGTCGTTTAAGATCTAGGATAGAAGTTGGAGGAAGAAAGGTTAGGAGAGGTAGAGTTGGGTGTCATCTTTGAGGCAGGTTTGAATTAGTCATGCAGGTAGGTGATATTTACAGGGAAGAAGTAGGAAACAGAATTAGTTGTGGGTCAGGGGTTGAGCTTTGGGTTAGCTCCCCAGGAACAGGCTCTAGGCTCAAAATGCTGTATTAGGCCTATAAAGGTAAAGGATTGCTTCATAATATGGAATGTAATTAGTGACCCAGGTCTATATATTATTACAGGTTTTTGTTGAAATTTACCCATTATTCTATAATTGACTTTTTTTTTTCCATTTAAAAATAGTGATTGGCTATGGGTGGTGGCACTCAGTGGTTAGAGCATTGCCCCCTCCCCACCCACAGTGAAGGGTCACAGGTTCGATTTCCAGTCAAGGGCTCGTAACTGGGTTGCTGGTCTATCCCTGGCCCAGGAGATAGACAATTAATCAATGTGTCTCTCAAGTTGATAGTTTTTTTCTTTCTCCCCTCCTGCCCCCTTCCCATTCTCTGGAAATCAGTGGAGAAAATATCCTCAGGTGAGGATTAACAAAGTAAAATAGTGATTGCTTCTATGAAGCAAAAGGCGAACTGCTCTCTTTTCATACTGAGCCTGAGTCCTGGGGGATCTCACCCTTGTTCACACTCAGCCCCCACGTTATAGCCCTGTGCTGGAGATACCGTTACTGAGTGCTTTTATCTCCTCTGAGCTGTCACCTTTCCGGGAGCCACTGGCTGTGGAGTGAACGATCACAGAGATACACTTCTCATTTCTTGCAGTGCTGCATGGCTGAAGGTGAAACCTAGCCCCAAAGATGCCACGAAAGAGCAGTCTGTCGAGCAAGAAGGTGCTCAAGAGGAAAGTCAGTTGGGAGAAGCTGTTGAGCATGAAGCAGTTAGGTTTGTGCTGATATTTTCAAATCTTTAAAAATGTAAGGGCCCCTTTCACATAGATTCTAAAGGAACTTTCTTCTCTTCCTTGTGTATAAAGTGGACCTTTAAAATGTAAATTATTAACATTTTCTGTCAAACTATCAGCTTAGACAGAGAACCCCTTTTTTATTCTTTATTTAATTCATTCAAAAATTATATGAGTGGCAAGTGCTTTACACATATTAGCTCTCTTAATTATCCTATATAATAAAAGGCTAATATGTAAATTGACAGAACAGCAGAATGATCCGTTGCTATGACACGTACTGACCACCAGGGGGCAGATGCTCAATGCTGGAGCTGTCTCCTAGTGGTCAGCATGCTCCCACAGGGGGAACGGTGCTCAGCCAGAAGCCGAGCTTATGGCTAGCTAGCGCAGCAGCAGTGGTGGGAGCCTCTCCTGCCTCAGTGGAATCGCTTAGCCATCAGTCAGACATCTCCTGAGGGCTCCCAGACTACGAGAAGGTGCAGTCTCGGCTGAGGGTCTCTCTCCTCTAGGTGCACAAATTTCATACACTGGGCCTCTGATAACCCTATAAAGTAGATACTGTGATTATCACTCCCATTTTTCAAGTGAAGCAAGACATGTTCAATCATTTACCCACGGTCACACTTTTTAGTTATCAAAGCTGGGATTTGAACCCAGGTAGTCTGCCCTGGATGGTGTGTTATTCTGGTTGCTAAGCGCAGCAGGTTGTTTAAGATCTAGGATAGAAGTTGGAGGAAGAAAGGTTAGGAGAGGTAGAGTTGGGTGTCATCTTTGAGGCAGATTTGAGTTAGTCATGCAGGTAGGTGATATTTACAGGGAAGAAGTAGGAAACAGAATTTAGTTGTGGGTCAGGGGTTGAGCTTTGGGTTAGCTCCCCAGGAGCAGGAATAAGAAGGGGAACCAGTGGAAGAACATCAAACAGGAAGGAAGAACATAGCAAGGTAAGGTGAGTAAGGATGAGAGGGCTCCAGAGAGGGGTCATGTTTCTCCAGTGAGTCTTGAAGGTCGCTTGTGCCATGGACTTGTTTGGCAGCTTGGTGGCACTTTTGGACTTAACCCAATAATAATGTTTAAATGCATAAATAAAATACACAATATCTTTTTTAAGTTATATTTGTGTTAGTTGGCTGCCAGTTGCTTGTTTTGTATATGTTACAGTTGTGAGCGCTATGGAGACTTAAAAAAGGGCAAAAAAGACCAAATCCCAGCCCCTAGGAAGGACTTGCCATTAGCTGTAATTTAAGATGAAACATGGTGTGTACCCTAAGAAGTAAAGGGATAAGAACAGAGGTTTTAGAAGGGAAAATAAATTAGGATTAAACACTAAATTAGGCCCTAAATAGGGGATGGTACGGCAAGAACATTCCCTGTGAGGAAAGCAAAAATGAATATGGGCCATTAAATAATTTAATAATATTTACATATCCCAAATCGAAAGAATCAGAGCCCATCCGCATAGAGTGAGCTTTTCCCTTCGCTTTTATTTGACTTCACTGGGCCTCTAAGGTTCTCTGGGTGTCCATTTCTTTGTCTAGACAGACATGTAGCAACAGCTTATTTTATAGTTGGACAGAAATCCTAAGTCCAGTGATAGATAGTTTTCTGAGGAATATTCGGGTACAGTTTTTGTTGCTCTGCACACGAGGAGTGCTTGTGCACAGAAGTGTCTTTTTACCCAGAACGTTACTTGGAGAGCTTTTTGGGTCCAGAGAAGTTGTGTTACCCTCTGCATCCTTCCTAGAGACAGGATAGCTCTCTGTTATCCCAGTCTGTGTCTGTGGTATTGGCACTTGCAGAGCGAAGCAGAAGTGGTCTGACTGTGTTTGTTCTGTCTACTAGACTCGCTTGGCTTGATGCAGAAACTTCCAAAAGATTGAAGGAACTCGAAGAATTAAAAGCTGAGGAAATGGACAAAATGCAAAATCAGAGGTAAATACCTGTTTCTGGGGTAGAGAAAGAATAGACTTGATCTATATCATCTATTTTAACAGCCAGCTAATTAAAATTGTTTAAAGCTGTAGTCATACTTACGTTTATTGGCTGTCTGCATGCTTAAAAGATTTTGAAATCACCTCAGAAGACTGCAGTGGAGCCAGGATTGGAGTGCAGGGGAGTCCTGGCGGCTGAGGAGGGCTGGGTGACTGTTCTATACTGTCCTCTGGGCTCCACTGGCTTGACGCTGAAAGGATTCTTGAACTTTAGCTTTCCTTTAGAGCAGTGGTCCTCAACCTTCCTAATGCTGAGACCCTTTAATACAGTTCCTCAGGTCTTAGGCGACCCTGCTAGCGATTCTCAGCCTTTGGGTTGAGAGCTGCTACTGTAGAGCTGAGACCATCGGAAAACACAGATATTTACATTATGATTCGTAAGAGTAGCAAAATTACAGTTTTGACGTAGCAATGAAAATAATTTTATGGTTGGGGGACACCCCACATGAAGAATTCAAGGCTCACGGCATTAAAAAGGTTGAGAACCACTGCTCTAGGGTCATCTGGCTGGAATAATTAGCTGTAGTTCATGCAGGTCTTTAGGTCTCTCCTTGGCAGGGGAGAGGGGAGTCAGGCTGTCCAGAGGAGAGTCTTCTGATTTTTTGCCTGGAGAGTAAGGATCTGGAGGCCATGCCCTAGGGTCTGAGTTGGGGAGAAGGGTTGTAATTCCTACCATTCGGCATTCAGCGTGCATACATGGTCCACTCCTTTTGGCACTGTCCCTGCAGCCTCAGCTGGGATTGGCATCCCTTAGTCAAGAGGCCCTTCCAGAGACAGCACAGACTGCTCACAGCATTGGAGAGAGGACTAATGTCTCAAACATCACTTGATCCTTGTCTTCCATATTTAAGCTACACCTCCCAGCTCACCCCCAGGCTAGACATGCCTGGTCCTGCCAGGCTTGTGTTCGTGTCAGTCAGTAGTGCAGGTTGTGTGGGTGTTCAGTGTTTCCACGCTGGCTAAGTATTCTGCTTTCTCAAGTCAGCTATGTTATTACCTTTGGCCTTCTGCCTCCAGCACCTTTCCCCTCTCTTTGTGGTTTATGTCTAACTCTGTTATTGTGGCCCTTTGGAAGGGAACAAAATTAGCTTCATCTGTCCAGTCTTCTACCATCTTTAGCTGTTTAAAGGCAGCCATCATTCTTTTAAAATGTTCTGAGAGCCTCATGTACTTCATCAGATGTTTGATGCAGGACCAGCAGTGTTGCATCCACCTGGAAGTTGTTAGAAATGCAGAATCTCAAGCCTCAGTCAGATCAACCGAATCAGAGTATGCATTCTATTTTTTATTTTTTGTTAATTCTCACCTGAGGATATTTTTCCCATTAATTTTTAGAGAGACTGTAAAGAAGGGAGGGATTGAAAGGGGGAGAGGGGAGAGAAAGAAAAAGAGAGAGAGAGACATCAATGTGTTCCTGGACCAGGACTGGGGAGCAAACCCACAACCCAGGTATAGGCCTTGGCTGGGAATCAAACCCATGACCCTTTAGTCTGTAGGTCAATGCTCTAACCACTGAGAAATACTGGCCAGGCTGAGTCTTATTTTAATAAGACTCTAGGGCACTTGTATGACCCTTAATATTATGGAAGCATTGCCCTGGCCAGTGAGGCTCAGTTGGGGCATCATCCCGTACACCAATAGGGGGCTGATTTGATTCCCGTTCAGGGCACGTACTCAGGTTATGGGTTTGATCCCTTCACATCGATGTTTTTCTCTTTCCCTTTGCCTCTGTTTAAAATCAATGTGAAAAAACAATTAGGGAAGCATTGTGGGTTTATAAACACTTGATTTTCCTTCACCTGAATGGTAAATAAATATAAAATAGAATATTTTCTAGCTTTTGATTTTAATTCTCTATTTTATTTCTAAATAGTGTTTCTGCTACCCAGTTAGCAGACAAGGTAGAGAAGACAGTCCTGGAGCGTTTGAAGCCTCTGCTGGCGCAGGCTCAGGTAATCTGCTTCACCTCATTTGCTTGCCGTTTGGAAGTTCCAGAATAGGAGTTGCTACAGATGTCACGCTGACCCTTCCTAGGGCTGAGTGTCTGGCAGATGGAGGCTGCAGTGCTGAGCCGTGCTGCTCGGTGCTGGCTGTGAGGGCCTTCCATTGTGGGCTAGTGATGAAGATAGGGGGAGAGAAAGTCCCACTTTTTAGGAAGGTGAGATTTTAGTTTGGGGAATGAGTGTAGATTGCATTTTTCATTTAAAAAAAAATATATATATATATACATATATATATATATATATATATATATATATATATATATATCTATATATATCTTAATTTCAGAGAGAGGAAGGGAGAGGAATAGAAACGTCAATAATGGGAGAAAATTATTGATTGACTGCCCCCTGCATAGCTCCCACTCCGCCCCACCACGGATCGGGCCTGCAGCCTGGGCCCCATCCGGAATTTGAACCTCGACCTCCTGGTTCATGGATCAACACTTGCTCACTGACCATACCAACCAGACACAATTTCCATTCTTAGTCAAATGACTCTATCTGCGGTCATGTGCTTAGCTAATTGCTTCTGCTCTTTCACTTCAGTGGTTTGAGATGACTATTTTTCCAAAGGAGAGATATTTCTGGGTACATACCAAGGCTTTTTTGAAGATGACATTGTATACAGCATCATCAGCAGACTGTGCCATCCTCTTAAGCTGAATGTTGTGGCCAGACCCTGTGTATCCACCTGTAAATGGGAGCAGTCTGTGTGTGTGAATGGGCCCCTGCAAAGGCCACTGAATTTCTTAGCTCTAGTTTAAGAAATGTTGAATTATTGTTGGAGTCCATAGGAATCTCAGGATTGTAGAACTGGGAGGGGTCCTAGAGACCATGTCATCCAACCTCTTCATTTTATCAGAGTTCACTGGATAGAGAAGTTTCACTGGATAGAGAAGTGGAGTAATTGCATAAAAACTCACAGCTACTCTGACATTGTTTACACAGTGGGGGAGGAAAAGGGGCAGGAAGCCAAGATCAACACATAAACACATGACATTTATTTTCGTAAAAACGGAGTGCTTCAAATTGCTACAAAAAGCCGCCTATAGCTAAAGCTGATGAACAGTCCGCACAGAAGATACTGTTACAGAATGCATTTGTATTAATATGGGTTGTAAATTTGTATAATTCATGAGCTTGCTTGTCTGTTTTAATAGAGAGTCAATTCTTCTATTGGAGCACATACTCATTTGAAGGATCGACCATCGGTAAACACAGGGACAGCCCAGCCTGCAGAGGAGGTGCGTGCAGTATTATTACGTGATGATGCCTCCGGTTGTAAGGAAAGTGAGGCGCACATTACTTTGCAAACACTAGATTATCTTACTCAAGAAGTGGAAGTTACTTTTCATATGTGGCATGTTAATGCTTACAGTGTGTATTTAGCATTATGAGTTAGATCGCCTTGCAAACAGCTCACGGCAGTCTCTGGAGCCACAGGTTCTTGTTAGCGGCTCTTGCTCTCCTCGTGATGAGACCATGAGTGCACTGCATGACCCTGAATGCTGATGGCCTCCGGCAGGAGAATGGCTGCCCTCATTTCCTTTCATTCAGCCTGGTTTTGCTCATTACTGGCCTAATTTCCTTTATACTTGTGGCCTGATATTTATTGTTAGGCCAGCATGTTTTGAGTGTTCAGTAATGACCGTATCTGGCTGCACAAAGAGAAAAGATAGCCCAAGGAGAAATGATAACATTTGAGGGAAGAACATGTTTTGTAGTTGTCCAGCCTCTGGGGGAATGGCGGGCTTGTTCCCACCTGCCCAGGCTGTGAGTGGAAGTTGCCGACTGCACCACCGACCCCGGGTGCAGGTTGGAAACAAGGTCATGGCGTCCGTGCGCAGAGCAGGGGTGAAGGCTGCAGGGTTAGGAGGGAGCTGGAAGGAAGCACCACCAGTCCAGCCGCCTTAGGAACAGGAAGGAAGGCAGCAGATTTCCAGAATAGTACTTTAGCTGCAGCATATTTTCCTAATCTTTGTGATTATAAGTTTATTGTACAATATTTTATGACAGAATCTCATGTGAGGTGAGGCTTCTGAGACTGGAAACTGAAAGCCTGTATTTAGCTCTTACAAATCGGGGGTGCTATGTTCTGGTGCTCTGTTCAGATAGCCACCAAATGCCACTTTTGTTCTAGAAAAATATCGAGGCTAACATCTCACCTAGGGAGGCAACTCCACAAATGGAGTGATTACAAATGCTCTCTGTGAAGTGGACATGTTTGAATATTATTAAGAACTAGTGGCCCGGTGCATGAAATTCGTGTACCTGGGAGGGGGAGGTTACCATCAGCCCAGCCTGTACCCTCTCCAATCTGGGACCTCTCGAGGGATGTTCAACTGCCAGTTTAGACCTGCAGTTGGACGTCCCTCTTGTAAGCCGGGACTGCTGGCTCCTAACCACTCGCCTGCCTGCCTGCGTGATTGCCTCTAACCACTTTGCTTGCCAGCCTGCTCACCCCAACTGCCCCCCTGCCGGCCTGCACACCCCCAAATGCTCTTCCTGCTGGTTTGCTCGCCCCCAACTGCCCCCCCCCCAGCACGATCACCCCCAACTGCCCTCCCCTCCTGGCCTGATAGCCCCTAACCACCTCTGCCTCAGCCCTGCCACCATGGCTTTGTCTGGAAGAACGTCTGAAAGGTCTGCCAGAAGGTCTCTCAGTCTAATTAGCACATTACCTTTCATTAGTATAGATAGTCTTCACCCTGGCCAGTGGTTACAGTGTCAGCCCACACACCAAAGGGTTATGGGTTGCAGGTACAATCCTTGGTTCAGTAGGGGCGTGTGTAAGAGGCAACCAATCAATGTGTCTCTCTTGCATTGATGTTTCTCTCTCTCTCTCTCTCTCTCTCTCTCTCTCTCTCTCTCTCCCTCTCCCTCTCCCTCTCTCCCTCTCCCACTTTCTTCCCTCCCTCCCTTCCACACTCTGTAAAATCAGTGGAACAAAATATCCTCAGATGAGGATTAACAACCACAAAAAAGAATAATTAGCTTTCTACATAAGAATTACACAGATGAGTTTGCTCTTTGCTGTAACTTTTGGAAGAAGAAACGTTTTTGGTGTTGTGGGCTGCTGTTAAACGTCAGTATGCTGCAGAGCTTCGCACACGGCACCATCAAGAGTCATTGTTTTTAGCCCTGGCAGCTGGTCGGGTGTCATCCTTACACTGAAACATTGATGTGAGCGTGAAACATAAATTGACTGCCTCCTGCACGCCTCCTACCAAGGATTGAGCTGGCAACCTGTGCATGTGTCCTGATCGGGAATCGAACCAGCAACCTTTTCGTGCATTGGACAATGCTCACCAGCCAGGGCAAAATTTTTATTTAACTTTGATTAAAATTGGATACTTGTTCATATCTTTACTGGCCATTAATAACATTTTATTCTGTGAACTATTATTATGATACTTTACATAGACAATACTAATATTACTTGGTTATTGCTACTGTTTAAACGACTGGTAAAAATTGTACTGATGTTACTGATTTTGGTATTTACTAACTCAGAGGAGGTTTGATTTGGCATAGAAACTGACAGTTGGATCACCATGTAGTTGGTTTGTTATGATCAGCATTAATCTTTATGATCAGCATAATCCTCTGCTGGCTTTGGATTGCCTTCCCATCCTCCTCTCTTGTTTCGTAGGCTACTGCTCTGGATTGTAAATCCAACAGCAGTCCTCAGCTGGACGATATTTTGGAAGATACCACTCGTGAGCCCCGAGCTATGACTCCTAAGATATTGGAGCCTGACGCCTTAGCCACCTCGGGGGACAGCCTGTATCTGGAGAACATGCTGCTCCGAATGGAGGAAATGGAAGTAAGGTCTGGGCTGGAGACTCTGGTTGGCCACTAGGCCGAGGGAGAGCTGCCCTTTCTGAGTGCAGGTCCTGCGCATGTGTTTCTGTAGATTAGCAGGACTTCAGAATCACATCACTGGTTTTAAATCCTCGTTCAACTGCCAACCAGTTGTCTGACCTTGATAAAGCCACTCACCCCCTCTAATAAGCGGGGTGCTTTTCAAGATAAAATGTGGCATGAAGTCTCATCATGCCGATAGTTGATAACTACCTGTCACTTAGCTCAGGAAGCGATATCCCCTGGTATCGTGGTTCAGAGAGCGCCAGGAGCATGGGCTTCCTCATGCCTCAGCTCGTCTGCCTCTGCTCCCCAGCTGCCTGGGATCCTGACACACCACAGATAAGTTTGCCGCCTGTAATTGCCACCATACGACTTCAGAATGCTTTTCCCAGAATCTTCCGTCTCAGACATCACCCAACTTGTTCAGAGCGGGAGATTGAGATCAATAAGGGAGGAAGTGATGTGGCTAAGGTCACACAGAAATTCCCGCCAGAGCTGGGCTGAGGCTCCGTTTAAGTCTAACAACCAATTCAGTGTTTTCTTTATAACTGCACCATGATTATATCTCATTTTGGCTTTGCTGCTAAATAGAGACATTATAGGGAAGATAATTTTTTGTTACAATTTTGTGTAGTTTATCCTAGTCTTTTAACTGATTTCCCTGTCTTGGGAGTAACCGTCTAGATCTGGTGTCCAATGGTAGTCCCTAGTCAAATGTGGCTATTTAAATATAAATTAATTAAGGTTAAACACACTAATATTTCAAGTGGTCAGTAGTTTGTGGTTACTGTGTTGGGCACGACAACTATAGAACATTTCCATCCTCACAACAAGCTCCAGTGGACAGCACTGGCCTAGATTAGATTAATTAGATTAATTGCTTCATTTTTAGACTTCACTTCATAAGCTAATCACTTCCTGGTCTGGCAGATGCTCATTTCTGGCAATGTGTCTGTATCAAATGTATCTGCTGAGCTATGACATTCTTGCTAGCTCTGGTTTCTAATGAAACTAATTTATTCTCATCAATTAAACTTTTTTTTTTTTTTTTTTTTTAAGAAATACCAGGAGACAGTTCGCCAAAGATATAATAAAATTGTATATACGGATCCTCAACTTTGGATGCAGGAAGAAAAAAATGGTGAGTGCTCCCCTCACTTTTCCCCCAACATTTATCCTGAAAATTTTGAACATACAGAAAAAATTCTACAGTGAACATCCATAAAACCACTTTATAAATTCTACAATTAACATGTTGCTATATTTGCTTTATTTATTTATACTCTGTCCATCAATTCACCGTATTTTTCATACATTTCAACTTGTGTATCAGCAACTAGAGTTTAATATCTACAGCTCTTTTTCGTTTGAGATAAAATTTACATATAATAAAATGGATAGATAGACTATATCACCTTCAGAAGTTCTTTTATGCTCCTTCCCAGTCAGTTCCAATGACTCAGGCAATAATTGTGCTTTTTTGCTCACTATAAATTAGTTACCTGTTCTAGACTCTCATATAAACGGAATCATGCCTGCATATGTTCTTTGTCTAAGACTTCTTTCATTCAGCATGATGTTCTAGATTTATCTGTTACTTGTTTCCGTTGCCACTATAACAAATTTAATTTTGTAGCAAGTTAAAGCACAGTTTCAGGGATTTAAAACACACATTTATTCTCTTACACTTCTGGAGGTCAGAAGTCTGAATCAAGCCTTGAAAGCCTAAAGTCAAGGTGTAGGCAGCTTCTAAGGTTGCCTGTGCTCCTTGACTTATGACCACACTCCTCCAGGCTTCGTTTCTGTGGTTAAATCTTCCTATGACAGCCTAGCGCAAGGCACTTGCATTACATTTAGGGGGAACCCCGATAATTTAGGATGCTCTCCTATCTCAAGAACCTTAAAGACTCTCTTGCCATAGAGGGGAACATTGACAGGTTCCAGGGATTAGAATGTGGACACCTTGAGGAGCCATTAGGCAGCCACCATACTGGGATCAGTTCCTTTTCACCGCTGAGTAGTAGACCCTTTTATCCATTTGTTTGTGGATCTGCATTTGCTTGTTTCTAGTTTTGAGCTATTAGAAATAAATCTGCTATTAATGTACCACGTTCCCCAAAAATGTATACACACTTCAATAGTCCATAACTCACTTAATTTTCACTCCTTTTCAGGTTTAACTGATTTGAAATAATGAATGAAGCCAGACTAAGCTTTGAATAAAGAAAGTTTATCCTAAAGTGCCACTAGACTTTTTTTTTTATGGGGACACATAAAAGATAAAGTTTGTCCTGACTGCCGTGGTTCAGTGGTTAGAACGTCAGCCCTTGAACCCAAGGGTCACAGGTTCAATTCTGGTCAAGGACAGGTACCTGGGTTTTAGGTTTCCTGCCCTGACGTGGGCGCACATGGGAAGCAACCAATTGTTGTGGGTCTTTCACATCAATGTTTCTTTCTCCTCCTTCTCCCCTCCCCGCTCCCTTCTCCTTTCTCTAAAATTGATGAGAAAAATATCCTTCAGTGAGGATTAACCAAAAAAAATAAAGATAAAGTTTACTATACAAAACCAGCAGCAGTCTACAAATTGAGGGTGCATGAATACATTTATCTGAAATGATTTTTAAAAAATATTTTTGATTTCAAAAGGGAAAGGAGAGGGAGAGAGAGAAACATCAATGATGAGAGAGAATCATTGATCGGCTGCCTCCTGCATGACCCACACTGGGGATTGAGTCCACAGCCTGGGCATGTGCCCTGAGCTGGAATTGAACTGTGACCTCCTGATTCATAGCTTGACATTTCACCACTGAGCCACGCTGGGTGGGCCAAAATCATTCTTGATGTTTAAGATTCCATTGCTTTGCATTATCAGCAGTGCCTGGATCAGAACAGTCACAAATTTGAAAGCAAGCATTGATAAAAAAAATTATCCATTTCTGTAGATTCTTTTAAATTTTGCAAATGAACTGTATGTTAATAAACACTGACTTTCTAATCATTCAAAGTGCATATACATTTTTTTCGAATACCCTATATATTCATGCATAGTCTATGTGGACATATGCTTTTATTTTTCCTGGATAAACACCCAAGAGTAAGTTTGCCAGGTCATGGATAGGTGTATGCTTAACTATAAAAAACTATCAAATCTTTCCCCAAAGTGTCTGTACCAATTTACCCTCCCATCTAATTGAGTCCCTCTTGCTCCATATCCTTGTGAACATTTGATATTGTCAGTCTTTAAATTTCATTTCCTCCATGTTGAATAATGAGGTTTAAAACATTTTCAAGTGACTATTAGCCATTTTTATATTTTCCCTGGTGAAGTATTCAAATCTTTTGTACATTTTCTAATGGATTGTCTTATTTTTGAGTTGTAGGAATTTTTTATGCATTCTGGGTATACACTTTTGCCATATATAGTTATTTTTAATAACAGCTTTATTAAGATACTAGAGGCTCACACTTCGGGGTCCCTTGGCCTGGCCTGCACCCTCTCGCAGTCCGGGACCCCTTGCTCCCAACTGCTTGCCTACATCGGAGGCAGGAGAGCTCCTGCAACTGCCACTGCTCTCACCAGCCGTGAACCTGGCTTCTGACTCTTGATGTTTGAGATTCCATTGCTTTGGAATTTCCACTCCTGTGGGAGCACACTGACCGCCAGAGGAAGCTCCTGCGTTGAGTGTGCCCCCTGGTGTTCAATGAGCATCATAGCAAACGGTCATTCTGCCGTTCGGTCGATTTGCATATTAGGGTTTTATTACATAGGATAATTTACATACCATAAAATGCATGCTTTAAGTATATTTACTAAGTTGTGCAAACATCACTGCTCTTTAATTCTAGAATCTTTTTTCACAAAAGAATCACCTTTAAAAAAAAAAATTGCAGGCCTGCCCTACTGTCCCTCTTTGCCCAGCAGCCACTGATCTACTTACTCTTTGCAAATATTTTGCTCCATCTGTGGCTCACATATTTTCTCAAATGTGTTTTATTACAGGAAGATACTTTTACTTTTGATGAAGTCGAACTTTCCATTTTTCTTGTATCATTTTTGCTTTATTTGATTTAAGAAACCTTGCCTACTCCCAATTTGAAGAGAGAGCCTTTTCTTCTTCTAGAAACTTTATGGTTTGGCTTTTGTGTGTAGTCTTTGATTCATCTTGAATAAAATTTGGCCTGTTTTTTTTTTTTTTTGAAGTAGAGGTTGGCTCATTTTTCCTCCTTAATGGATATCCATTTGTTCTCATGCCATTTGTTGACAAGACCTTCCCTGTTCTCCGCTTGTAAAAATTCATTCAGTCGAATTTTGGCTGCAGTTGCTAGGCTACTATCACAGTGTTAGCCGGGAAGTGTTACTTCTGTTTGATGCAGGCTTATCATTTACTACCTTCCTCAATGAAAGGAGGTGAATAAAAGCTGGTTAAACATTACCCCTGAAGGAATTTAAGTAGGATGATTACTAAGGGCTGTAAAGGAAACTGTGGGTGTCGGTGGTTTACAGCAGCATCCTGCAGTCACATAGTTTTTTAAATCCTCACCCGAGGATATGTTTTTATTGATTTGAGAGAGAGAAGAAGGGAGAGAGAGAGAAACATTGATGTGAGAAACATCAATCTGTTGCCTCCATAAGTACCCTGACTGGGGACCGCACCTGCAACCTAGGTATGTGCCTTAACCGGGATTCAGACCCGCAGACTTTTGGTGTAAGAGACAGCGCTCCAACCAACCGAGTCACCAGACCAGGGCTTCACATATAATATTTTTAAAATACGGGTTTGGGGTGGGTGTCATTTTAGAAAAAGTGTTGTTCTCCATGTCAAATTTTGACAGAAGGATGAGCCATCAAAGCACAACACCTATTTGTTCCTTTTTATGTTTTCTGCTGTTTTCAGGTGCTCTATTCTTTGCTCCTGTTGGTTCTCTCTCCACCCCAACCCTAACCCCGCTCCCGTCTTCATTCTCGCCACCCTTGAGGCCCGACTCACATGACCCTCTGGGGACCAAGCTGGCAGTGTCCAGACTGGAACCTGGCTCCCTCCCTCACAGGCCTGTGAGCTCCATGGGCTCCGACCTGCCCTGCATCGTAGAGCTGTTTGCTGAGAGGTCTCCTCTCTCCCAGTCCGACCACAGGTTCTCCGAGGCCGGCCAGCTGGTCAGATGGAGTTGTGCTTCCACTGCACCGGCACAGGCCTGGCCTGGGGACCCCGCTCAGTGAGTGGGCGGGCACTCCAGCACCGTTTTGTGTGGAGCCGAGGGAAGCAGTTTGACTCACAGGTGGGGTGGCCGTTGGCCCCAAAGTTGGGTTGCATCGTGCAAAAGGCGGTCTTACCTAGGACTCCATGTTGTCCTTTTCCCAGGGCAATTTGAATGATTAGTCACTGTCTATGACTCTGCATAAAGTTGAGGGATACAGTGAAGAGGAGCTCCTTAGGACAGACACTAAGCGCTAAAACAAGTTTCAGACACTTTATTCCAGAATCACGGACCCATAGAAAGTGCCCTGCTTCCCGATGTTCAGATGCTATGTTCAGCTGCATCACACATTTAAGGGACTCTTGAATTGTGCAGGGTCTAACGTATGTCCTCTCCTCTGTGAACAATTGAAATTTGGTTGTACTCAGCATTATTTTTACAAAAACTGACTTTTGCAGTATTTCTGACAGTGAGAGATCACAAGCATATAAATGAGTTAGAGAAAGTTCTTTGACTTAGAGATTCTCCTTACCTAAGAGAAGGACAAATCTTACATTTGAAATACATTTAAAATTGTAAATAATCCAGAACTCCAAAGAGCTGTCAAGCCTGCAGGGTCTAGTTAATAAGTTAATGTTTCGATATCGTTATGCTGATTTTCCGGCAATGCCACAAATTAAGTCAGCTAATTAAGTGCTCAGGTGTAAGTGGGTTTTTTTCCTTTGCCCTAATCAAACCATTGAAAGGTTAAAAAATAAACCCAGCTGCTGAAGACCCTGGAATGAGCGGCTCGGTTCCGGAACCCGCAACCCTGGGGCTTGGCACAGACTTCCTTCCGCCGTCAGAGCTGGCAGAGGCTTCAGACATCTCACTGTTCAGCAGTGACTCTTCCTTGGCTGGTGTCTCAGTAACTTCTAAATTCACCTTTCCTCTTTTTTCATTGCACCGCCTGCGAAGCCATTGTGCTTAAAGGGGTGGGGGTGCCTGTGACTTCCTCACGGGCGGTTGGCCACGGAGACAGCCTGGTATGTACCCTGACTCTCCTTTATAAGAAGTCATTTGATGCCTCTCCTTTTCTAGACCAAAAACTTGCAGCAGTAGGTGAAGGACCCCTTTCTCCTCATCCAATCAGGATCACAAAGACAGTAGCCAGCAAGGACCCAGACGTGCACATCGTGTTGGAAAGGCCCTGGAATGACAAGTAAGCGCTAACGAGCCTGATCTCATTGTAGTCGGTTGCCTTCAGTGTTGTGAGTTTCATATTCTTTCCGTTCACACAAGACACAGAAATTCTTTTTGAGCAAGATCTTGCCAAACTCCCAAGATGGCTCAGTAAAGTAGTGTGTTTAGAAGATGGGCATAGAAACTGTTACATCTTGCTCTAGCCGATGGGCTCAGTGGATAGTGTTGGCCTGGGGACTGAAGGGTCCCGGATTCAATTCCGGTCAAGGGCATGTACCTCAGTTGCACGCTCCTCCCTGGCCTGGGCCCTGGTCAGGGTGAATGCAAGAGGCAACCAATCAATGTATTTCTCTTACATAGATGTATCTCTCTCTCTTTCCCACTCTCTCTTCCACTCTCTCTAAAAATCAATTGAAAAATATCTTTGAGTGAGAATTAAAAAATAAATAAAAATATATTTTTTAAAAAGAAGAAAAATGTTGCGTGTTAAGGAGCTTGGATTTTTCTGTTGAAAGCATCACATTGGCGCGGTGGTTATACTGCAAATTCCTGCCAGATTTGATGTAGGAGTTCTGATTTCTACAGGACAGGAACTCCTACCTGGTGGAGGGTTAGTCCAGTGGTGAGGGTAGACTGTGAGTGGTGATAACACTGAGTTTTGTTCATTGTGAGAAAGAGAAATGAGAGGAGGTCTTTCTGGCAAACCATCAGGGTGGGTGAGCAGTTTGCCCTTGCTTGCAGGTGATTTTGAACGTTGTCATCATTTTTATTGGTTCTCAGTTCCCTGGATGAAAGTGGGGGACCAGAGGAGAAATCGGAGAAAAGAGAGGCTCCCCTCCTCTTTCCTTCAGAAGATTCTGAGCAGAGAAAGGATCGGATTGCCCTCCTGGTCCCCCCCGGGATGCGACGCAGCATCGGAGACTACTGCAGCCGCTACGACCAGTACCTCCGGATGGTCTCCCATGAGGCCGTGGGCTCCTTCAATCCATGGCTCATTGCTGAAAGGTCAGTAAATGTTCCGTGCCACGTGCCAAATGTTATCTGACAGAGAGGCGGGGAAAGGAATGTCCACGGTCTCACGCTGTGCTTTAGGCCTTGGAGTTCCAGTTGCTTTTGGGCTAGTGGCCAGGTTTCTCTGTGAACGTCCTTTCCCAGATAGAAGAGATTGTGGAGCAGCAAGGGAGCGCGCTGGACCTCCCCTCCTGAGGCAGAGCGGGGCTCTCCTGTGGCCCGAGGGAGGCTCTTCCACCAGAGAACAGAGCCTGGGTCGGAAGCAATGTGGTCGCGACGTCTTCAGGGTCGGACAGAGGTGCTCGTGGCAGCAGGCCTTTGGGCTTTGCAACATGCTCTCTAACCCTTCTCCTTCCGAGGTCGTTTCGTGGAGTCCTGAAACATAGTCTTCCTGCTGCTAAAGTTTTTGAAGAATGGATAAGGTGTTCTTTTGTTTTTTTTAATGTAAATAGTTAATTGAAATCCATTCTTTTTCAGTTGGGCCCAAGTTTGAATTCCTCTTGAATATCACTTTATTATAAACATGCAAATATTTTTTCATCATCGAGTCAAGCAGTATACTATGATTTCTTTCTTGAACAAGTTTGAAATGTATTTCAGGAGTTAACAGTTGCCTCTTTTTTATTTGCTTATTTTAGATGTTTATGAACTTTCCCACTCACTAGTCCTTTTTCTCAGTGGTCAGATGCAGCAGTTGATCTCAATTTCTCGCCTCTACCCCACTCTCTCTCCTGAGACTCTCCCCTTCCTCCCCCAGCCTGGCTGACTGCCCTCTAAGTGGCCCCGTGGCTCCTGCTCCGGGACTCCCTCCTTCATGGCCCAGCGTGTTCGGTCACCTCCCTCCCAGGTCAGAGGCCTTATTTCCAGTGCCTTCATCGCCCTCTTTCCAGGTTCACTCTCTTACTTTGATGGAGCATATCCTGTTTGTCTACTGGAGGAACATTCTTAAGATTTGCCAGTTTGAAAGTGTCTTTATTCTATGGAGACATACTTGATTGATGATTTGGCTGAGTTTAAAATTATGGGTTTATTTTTCCCAAAGAATCTACGCCTTCATTTGTGGGGGCGAAGGAGGGATTGTCACTTAGCTGCCTGGAGCAGGGGTGGACACCTGTCAGTCTCTCTGTTCATTCTGCAGAATGTCAGCCCATGCCCTCATTTTCCACCCGGACCTCCCTCCACCTGCATGATCTCAGCACTCTTACTCCCGATTCCTGATTTCTGATTCCTGAGTCTTTGTTTTGTGAGACAACCAGCTTGCTTCCCTTGGCATGTCCCTGGACAGACTCCTGGGTTTCAGCTTCTTCTACTCCCTCTGTTCTGCCAAGTCAGTTAGGATTCCTCCACGTGCATTTCCTTTCTGGAAATCTTGGACAGTCCTCATCTACTGTTGTTTCTTTTTCTCCTTGTAGATTGATGTGTTTGTTTAAGTCCTTTTATTTTAGTGGACTTCTGAGCGGGATCAGAGATAATCACTTATGTTCAGTCCCTCAGTTTTAACTGAAGTCCGAAAGCTTCTCTTTAATAGACAGCGCCCTTCAAGGTACCTGAGCATTCAGTTCTGATAGAGATGCCGTGTGGGGGAGGAGAGTGGGCAAACCTCACTTGCTTCTGTGTGAACACAGTCCTACAGATCTCTCATTTTCCAAGCACCTGTTTGAATGGTGAGGCTAACTGGTATATTGGGAAATCCAAAAACAAGCCACGGGAGATAGACTTCCATGTACGTTCTTACCACCTGATAAATGAACACTTCGTTCATAGTTGTTTTGTTGCGCTAGGGAAAGCACTCAGACTATCTATAGTAATAAAAGAGTAATATGCTAATTAGGGTGGACGTCCATCCGGACAAAGCCACAGCGGCTGTGAGGCCCACGGCTCAGGCAGCTGTGAGACCCAGCAGCTGTGAGGCCCTGGGGCTCAGGCCTCACAGCCACAGTGGCCGGCAGTGGCAGCAGCAGCAGGGTGATGGGTATGCCTTTCCCTCATTGGCCTGGTCGCCTCCCACAGAGGGAGGTCAGAGGCAGCAGCAGCAATAGAGTAATGGAGACAGAGCCTTACCCTGAGCAGCCCGGTTGCCTCACACAGAGGGAAGCTATACTGCAGCTTAGGCCTGCTCCCCAGTGGGGAGCCTAAGCCATCAGTAGGACATCCCCTGAAGGATTCCGGACGGTGAGAGGGGGCAGGTCGGGCTGAGGGACCCCTTCCGGTGCATAAATTTTTTGTGCACCAGGTCTCTAGTAAGGAATAACAGGTTAGCATGTAGAGGCCAGAGCTATTAAAATATGCCTGGATCTTTACAAATGTTCTCTGCTGCAATATTTGGCCCTTACATGACAGTGCATCTGAATTTTCTAACTCCATTTCAATCTCTTTGTTTCTGATTTGAATGTTCCTAAGTGGGAGATCTTGAAAAATTATCCTAAGACAGTTGACTTCACTTAATAGCTTCTTATGTGAGGGAAATCTTAGATTTTTTCCCCCCCTGTAATATCTCCATTTCTCCTTACACTGAAGAAAAAGCACTGCTTGAGTGATCAAAGGGAGATGATGTAAACTGGATGTAAATAAGAGTGGCTGTGAAAGGAAAGGCTTAGGTGATGTGATGCTTTTGATGAAAGCAAACTCTTAAGGATCCCTAGTTTAAAAAACAAATCAGGAGACTTCAGGGTAAAAAAGACAGACTGAACATATGAATTCATCTTTATCCCATGTATCTCCACCCAACTGTATGTCACTAAAAGAATAAACAAAAGGCATGAACCTTTAAATGAGAACAAACAAGAAATAGCAATAAAAATTTAGAAGCCATAAGCAGATAGACAAATAGCAGATGACTTAGCAGATCAGGGAGAGCCAAGTGCCTGGTGACGAGGAAGCCAAGAACCAAGCTGATTCATGCAGACACACCTGGTGAAACGCAGGAGTGGGAAGCAGGGGATGCTTGTAAGGCATAGGTGCAGTTAAGTCAGGAAACGGGAGGCTTGGTTCAAACGCTCTTTCTTGAAGATAGCAGCCATTTGATAAATGCACAGCCCCTTACACATAAAAAGCTCCGAGGAAGCCAAGTAAGTAGAGCTATTACATCATGAAACAAGAACAGTATTTTCTTAATATGTTTCTATTGATTTGAGAGAGAGAGAGAGAGAGAGATACAGACATTGACTGGCTGCTCTGCACACACTCTGACCTGGGACAGACCTGTGACCTGGCCTGTGTCTGGCTGGTAATGGAATCAGTGACTTTGATGCACTGGCCGATGCTCAGCCAGCTGAGCTGCACCTGCCAGAGGAGAACAGGGTGTTATTAAAATCTGTGCACATTAAAAGGGAATTAATCTGTGCACATTAAAAGGGAATTAATTTGAGGAAATATTTTAATATCGCTATTTGCCCTTTCTCTATAAGGTGAAAGAGAAGTAGTAAAACGTATATGAAAATCTCCCTCCTGTCAGAGTCTGGGGTGCGCCATGGGAACCAAAGTCAAGTCCCCGGCCACCCACATGCGCCTCAAAATCGCATAAGACCTGGACCCAGCCAGCCCCACCCTCACTGGGCTAGATCCAGACCCGGCCTGCCCCATCCCTGTCAAGCCCTGCTGGGTGGGGTCGAGGCCTCGGGTTGCCTGGCCTGGGCCAGAAGATGCAGCCTGAGGTCCCATCAAGCCCAGACAGGCAGGCGGCACAGCCTGAGGTCCCCTAGGCCAGGGCAGGGGGCATGCTGTGAGGTCCCCCGTCAAGCCCCGTAGGTGGGGGGCATGGCATGAGGCCCCCTGGCCCGGCGCTGGGACAGGGATTGCTGTCTGAGGGCCCCCCATCAAGCCCTGCTGGATGGGGGTTGCAGCCTGAGGTCCCCCAGCCTAGTGCTGGGGCGGGGACATGGCATGAGGTCCCCTGTTAAGTTCTGCCAGGCAGGGAGTACAACCTGAGTTCCCCCATTAACCCCTGAGAGGCAGGGGGCACAGCCTGAAGGCCCCTAGCCTGGCGTTAGGGCGCAGGGGGCACGGCCTGAGGTCCCCTGTCAAGCCCCACCAAGCAGGGGGCGCAACTTCAGGTCTCCTGCCCCAGCCCAGTGCCACACAGCCTCAGGTCCCTGCTAATTGCTTGGTAAGGCTCGTTACAGGAACCCGGCCTCTGCTGTGGGTGCAGCCATCTTGTTAAGGTGTGGCAGTCAATTTTGCATATTCCTCTTTATTAGATAGGATAAACTTTCAAAGAATAAAACAAGCGTTTTTAGAAATAAAAAAAATATGACTGAAGTAAATTCACTAGGGGGATTCAAAGAAAAAGGTTTCTCAGGAAGTAGAATTGAAAAAAACACACCAAGGATGGATAATAGGGAAGAAAAGATTTTAAAAGTTAGAGGGTTATACTGTCAATGTCTTAGCTCTGGTTGCCGTAACAAATGCCATAGGCTGAGTGGCTTAAACAAAAATTAATAGTTTATAGTTCTGGAGGCTGGGAAGTCCAAGATCAAGGGTCTGCTTCCTGTTTTGCAGACAGCCCTTCTCTTGTTGTATTCTCACTTGGCCAAGAGAGAGAGGTCCTCTTTCTCATGCCTCCTTTATAAGGGCACTAATCCTGTTCATGAGGGCTCCACCCTCATGACCTATTTACCTTCCAAAGGTTCCACCTCCAGATTCCATCACCTTGAGAATTGGGCTGTTAGATATGAATGGGATGGAGGCACACAGATTTTCAGTTACTGTGTAGTGTCCAACATCTGTGTAGTAGGATTTCCAGAATGTGAGAGCAGGGGAAATGGAGGAATAAGAATGGGAAAAGTCAGAGAAATACCATAAGAAAACTTCCCAGAAGACTGTTAATCTCTAGGTTGGAAGAGTTCATCATTAGTCCACTGCCAGTTAGAGAGTGAGTGAATACATATATGAATAAACGAATAGGAAAGAACACACAATGGCACATCATTTTGTAAAGGAAATTTGAACATCCCAGTGTGCGGACATTGTGATAAAAGGTTCCTGAGTTAAGCCTGTTCAAACAATCAGAACTGAGACTGGGACCTTGTTTTCAAGAGCAACACTGCTAGCAGGTGTTAGAGCATGCTCCCCAAATTCAGCCTCAAATCTGTGCTCAGCTAAATTGTCAACTAAATATAAGGATAAAATAATGTCAGATGTACAGGGTATCAAAAAATCTAGTTCCCATGCACTTTTTCACTAAGCTACTGGAGGGTGCATACCACCAGTACAGGGTGCACATTGAAAAAGAGGAAGGCAGGATTTAGGAAACTTAGGGAACTTCCAGAAAAATGGCCAAAGCTATTTACATGAGAACTTCTCAGTAAGCATAAAAAGCAACCAATCCAGATTGGAATAGGATGACAGAGCACCAGGAGGAGTGGTTCCCAGAGTGGGCAGCAGGGTGAGGGAGGTTAAAAGGAAGAAGAAAACAACCCAGCTGGTGTGGCTTAGTGGTTGAGCATCGACCTATGAACCAGATTAGATTCAATTCCCTGTCAGGGCACATGTCCAGGTTGCAGGCTCAATCCCCAGTGTGGGGCGTGCAGAAAGCAGACTATCTTTCTCATTGTTGATGTTTCTATCTTTCCCTTTCACTTCCTTTCTGAAATCAATAAATTTATTTAAAAAAAGAAAAGAAGAAGAAGGAGAAGACGACAACAGATACTTAATCTGTTTGAATGGATTCGGATTAGCTTGGTATTTCTTAATATGATGATTTCATAATACAGAAGAATTCACGATAGGAATATGGAAAGCAAAACAAATACAAAAACAAGGTGACCACTTGATGACGCACATGGTAATTGGGACCACGTCTCCCCCTGAGGATAGCTCCTAATAGAAACGCTGGAGTAAAAATAAAGCGGACGTGCTGGAAGGCACCAGAAGGTAACCAGGTGACGCAGCATAACTGGGGCAGCGCGTGGAGAAGCAGACCGGGAGGTTAGCCCTGTCTGGCGCTGCACAGTCAGTCCTAGGGGACGGGGCACGTGGGTGGCGTTTCCAGGTCAGAGGACAGAGGTGGGCCTTGGGCCTTGCCATGGTGGGGGAGTACTCGCCTCACCTGAAGTGAGGGTAGCCCGGGTGCCTGGAGCCTCTCAGGACTCTGCGTGGCTCCAGATGATCTTCGTTCCTCAGCTTATACCAAAGTGGTTCCAGCTTACTGCCCCCAGGCACCAGGCAGCAGCTAACATACATTTTCTCTGAATGTATAGACAGCTTCTTAGGACTTAAATTATTGTTAGACTTTTCAAACAATATACAGTGCCTGGTATATGGTGGTGAATAACCAGGCAGCAGAGAGAGATGACACTAACAAGAACTGTTCCTACAGCAGCTCCGAATGGTAGACCCATCAGACACAGACAGGATCACAAGGACATCAGGCCATACATACAGGAAGCTCTAAAAGGCCCAAGCTAAACAAAGAGGTACATCTTACATAGGCACATCGTAGTAATGTTGAAAAGTCAAAGATAAAAGAGACAGAGTGCTGGATCTTGGAAGGAAGGCTGGAGGAAGAAAGACAGACCATGGAAGCTGGGAGATCTAATATATCTTTTAAATTTTTAAAGCAGGAGAACTCCCGACCCGGAGTTCTAAGCCCAGTGAAGTATGTTTCAAGAAGTAAGGTAAGAGAGGCTCCAACACAGTTGAAAAGGTGTAGTGTGGTAGACCTTCACGGTAGGAAACATTACAAGGATATTTTTTTTTAGTCGGAGCAAAATAATCACAGATGAAAGGTCAGAAATACAGGGAGGTGTGAATTGCTAAAAAGGTCAGTGTGTAGGTAAGTGAATATTGACTGTATGAAACAATAAGCTGCTGTCTTATGGGTGTTTGCATACATTTAGAACACACAGTCACAATAGCACGTAAGCCAGGGAGATGAGAGATGGTGTTGTGAGGTATCTTCTACATTCTGGGAAAATGGCAAGCATAGCAATTAATGTTAGACTTTTAAGTCAGGGATTCTCATTGTAATCTAGGGTGACCATTAAGAGAATAATACAAGTTTATAGCGAGAAAAGAATGTAATGAGAAATTGAAATATCCGAAGGAGGGCAAGGAAGAATAGAGAACAAATAGACAACTAGAAAATATTTAGTGTTTTAGTAGTAGAACTTCAAATATAGGGTGCTGTTTTTGATAGATAGAGACTATCACGGAGTATGTGTGTGTGTCTGTCTGAGTCGGTCTGGCAGTGGCACCAGTAGCAGTGAGTACACTTATACCAGATCTTTGTTTCTAAATATTATTTCCCATGAGAAGGTACCAGGGCTCCTCAGAGAAATGGCTGATTCTGGGCCTGGGGCTGGGAAATGTAGGAGGAGCCTGGAACATCATGTGCCAGAGGGAGTGTTGAGAGCAGAGAATGCTGCTCCTGGCGGAGTACCCAGGAGCTAGCTTGAAGGGGCTCCAACTGGCCAGTCTGGGACATTCTGAATGTCAAAATCCTATCTAATAAAAAAGTAATATGCAAAGTGACTGTTGCTTCAACACACAAAATGGCTGCCCCCATGTGGTCAAAGACAGCTACCCCATATGGACACAAGATGGCCACCACAAGATGTCCAGTGGGGGAGGACAGTTGGGAGGGACCAGGCCTGCAAGGGAAGGCAGTTGGGGGTGATCAAGCCTGCAGGGGAGGGTAGTTAGGGGTGACCAGGCTGGCAGAGGAAGGAAGTTGGGGGTGACCAGGCTTTCAGGGAAGGGCATTTTGAGGGGACTCCAGCCTTCAAGGGAGAGCAGTTGGAGGGGACCAGGCCTGCAGGAGAAGGCAGTTGAGAGAGACCAGGTCTGCAGGGGAGGGCAGTTTGGGGGGTGGGGCAGACAACCAGGGGAGAGCAGTTAGGGATGATGAGGCTGGCAGGGAAGGGCAGTTAGGAGTGACCGGGTCAGCAGGAGAGGGCAGTTGGAGTGACCAGGCTGGCAGGGGAGGGCAGTTAGGGGCAATTGGCTGGCAGGGGAGCAGTTAGGCATCAATCAGGCTGGCAGGGGAGTGGTTAGGGGGTGATCAGGCTGGCAGGCAGAAGTGGTTAGGAGCAATCAGGAAGGTAGGCAGGCGAGCATTTGGGAGCCAGCAGTCCTGGATTGTGAGAGGGATCCCAGATTGGGAGAGGGTGCAGGCTGGGCTGAGGGACACACACACAACCCGTGCACAAATTTTGTGCACCAGGCCTCTATTAAATAATAATGGTAATGAGTTACAAACTACTGAATAAGAATCAGACCAAGCCTATATGAATGAGTGAATGAATGAGTAAGTGAATACATACATATACAAAGGAGAAGGAAAGCTTTTATTACAGTAGAATGCCAACTACTAAATGGAGAAGGAACGATGAAATTAGAAATTCAGTGTTGGCAGCCCTGTAATAATCGATTCAGATAAGTTGGATGAGAAGCAAGATATTTACATAATCACACAGCATCTCCCCCAATACACATATTAATTACCAAGGGGAAACAGGACTGTACGGGGAGAAACCTGGCAGACATCACTGTCACCAAGGGGTAACAGGTCACTCAGCAGTGAGAGGGTGAGAGGAGCACTTGGGGAACATGATCCCTGCTGTGGCTTCCGTTCCAAATATGTGTCACCAGAGTCTCCCCATGAGGAAGCATCAGACAAACTCAGATTGAGGGACGTTTTACAAAAAAAAGGCCTTCACACTGTAGAAAGTAAGGTCCTGAAGGACAAAGGCCAAAAAGCGGATCTAGGTTAAAGGAGAGTGAAGAGATGTGACCGCTAAATGCAGCATGGGATCCTGGGCTGGGGCCTCTAAAGGACGTTATTTGGACAGTTGGCAGGCTTTGGAAAGGTTTGTAGATAAGATTAGATAATGGTGTTAATGTGATTTTTATAATTATGGTTATTTAAGGGAATTATGGTATTCAGGAAATAAAAATGAAGCACTTAAGGGATGTCAAGTCTGCAACTTACTCTGAAACAGAGAAAAGTTGTGTGCGTGTGTAAGTGTGAGTGTGTAAGGAGAAAGAGAACACACATAGAGAGTCCTGCCCTGTCCCGTCCCGTAGAGAAGGCAGGCCCCCATCTCTGTGATCTGGGTTGGCTGGGTTGCAGCTGGTTTTAATTTCTGGTCACCGCTGGCCTCACCCATCTCAGGGTGAGGTTCCTCCGGTGTGATTCAGGCCCCTCCCTCAGCCTGACTTTGGGCTCTAAGTGCCATCATCTTAACATCTCGGAGAGCAGGGCCTCCCTTGTTTTTCTCCTTCAGAAGTACCTTGGCTGCCTTGGCCTTCTGCATTTCCCGTTAAATCTTAGGATTGACCTGGTGAGCTCCCCAGCCGAGTGAAGAAAGGCTCCCCTCTTTGGCTGCACGCCTTCAGCTGCGTTGTTTGTCTTCAGCTTTTCAGAGGAGCTGGTGGACGAGGCGCTGGGGTCCGTGACTGCTGAACTCGGGGACTTGTGTGAAGGTTACGCGGAAGCTGTGTTCACCTCGGAATTCCTAGAGGCTGCCACCTGAAGGCTCCGCGGGAGCGGCGGCACCACCCTGTGCGTTAGGCCACGGCCAGTCTTTCTCCAGGCTGTCCATCCAGGCCAGGCGCTGCCCAGTGAGAGGAGGGACACGCCAGTGAGGTCATCGCCATGGCAATGGTTCTGGTAGTTTATGGTGGAAGGTGTTAACATTGTTTAGTACCCAGGAAACGGGAATTGATTATGACAATATATTTTCTGAATGTATAAGTTTCCTGTTGCTGTATTCCCCCACTGGCTCAGGTTGGTGATCGGAATGTTTTGAAAAGTAACAGATCGGTATATTTCATACAGGGATTCAAGTTGCTTTAGATCCCACAGGTGGATCAATGCCCACAAAAGCGCAATTACCGTCTGGTCCCCTCACCTGGCTCACGTTTTCATGCCAAGCAGTTTCCCAACCAACAGGGCACCTGTCCCCGTCGGGTCACAGACTCGAGGCGAGCCGGGTCAGGTTCACTGCCAGACCTCTGCCCTGTGCAGCTCAGTGAGAATAGGAGCCACCAGTTGTCAGTCACAGCAGCCAACACATTTCTCAATGTGAAGTTCCTAGCGGTTTCTCACATGTTGAGTCTTGCTATCAGTTGACATATTCTGACACACAGAGCTTTCTCTGAATTCAGAGGAAATCGGTGTACACCCCAGTGCCGGGTCAGAGGTGCAGAGCTCACTTCCATCGCTGGGGAGGCAGACATGCCTTCAAACCAGAGAGACCTGGTGGGAGGAAAGAACCAAAGTGAAGGACGTGACCTCTGGGTCTGGGTCTCCGGAGAAGGGAAGAAGCTTAAGAAACACAATAGCTTGGTCCTCAAACATCTCGTAAGTCATATTTTACCAAGGGTAAAGCTTCTGTGTTTTCAGAAGTTCTGAATTCAGAAAAAGAATGTGTATGAAAAGAAGTCACTGCCTGGGAAAAGGTTCCCTAGGTTTTTTGCCTGAGGCTTCTGAAAAAAAAAAAAAAAATGTGAAGAGAGAGTGATGTAGATGTTCCCCATGGAATAATGTGAATCTTTCTGTAACATATAGAGTGTTGTCACCTGGGGCTTTCCTCTGAAGTGCAAGTATTCCAGGTGATAATTTAAGCTGCTTGATCCCACTTATTTGTACAAAATTGATTTTTATTTAATGTTAATGTTTTCTTGATTAGTCTTATATAACCTCAGAATTAAAAAGGCTTCAGGGGAAATTAAAGGATTTAATTGGAGGAGTTAATGTGTACACTTGAATTGATAGGCGCGTCTGTCATCATCATTGATCTCTTAAAGTTATTTGTATGGCAGTCTTACTGTGCTGATATTTTAAATAAACTCGGTATTTTAAAGTATATGCATGTCTAGTTGAAATTATTTACATCTTTGTTCCACGGGCACAGTGAAATGTGATACATAAGAACCACTGAGTCTGCTTCCTACTTGATCTGAGCAGGCTGGGTTGTTTGCCACTCCTTCCCCACCCGAAAGAAATAAATGAAAATGACACATGCCATGTGCCAGGCATTGCTCCCAGCGCTCCCCGTGTTATTTAATCCTCAGATCTGTGGGAGGCGCATACCGTTATTCTTATTTTGTAGACGAATGAGAGGAGGCATAGGAAGGGAGAACGAGGTGATCAGACCACCTGTGTTCATGATGCCGTGATCCTGCATCACTAGTTCCCCAAAGACCTTTGTCAGTTTTGAGTCCCCACGCGTGCATTCTCCTGCGCTCCTTCCCACTCAGCACATCCCGGATGCTGTCGCAGGAGCGGTCCCTTTCCTCAGCACACCCTGTTTTGTTTCAGGATCTTTCCAGCCTCTCCTGCCCCTCCCCCTAGATGGGTCTCCCGTCTCTGGCTCAAGGTGGTCGAGGCTTACTCCTGCCTCCGTGTCAGGGTCTACTGCATAGCCCCGAGGGTGCAGGCAGTTGAGTCCTCAGGTGTGAATATTCCTGAGATAGTCTTGCACTGTCCCAGGCCTCTAGAATTCTTTCTTTTTTTTTCTTTTTTTTAAATATATTTTATTGATTTTTTACAGAGAGGAAGAGAGAGGGATAGAGAGTTAGAAACAGATAAGAGAGAATCATCGATTAGCTGCCTCTTGCATACTCCCTACTGGGGATGTGCCCACAACCAAGGTACATGCCCTTGACCGGAATCGAACCCGGGACCCTTCAGTCTGCAGGCCGACGCTCTATCCACTGAGCCAAACCGTTCTTCATGAACAAAGGTTGTGTGTGTAGGTCATTCTCTAACCCCCTTCCGTTTTCTCATGAACTGTTCATGAATTAGTTTAAAAAACGGACATGCATGAATGCAGTGTTTCTGGGTTACTTAGGCTGTCTCAACTCACAGAGATGATGAAATTCAGAAGTTTCATCTTCATGCTCCTCACTCCGATCTGTCCAGCTTTACAGCCTTGGTCGTATATGGGTTTTAGCATGTTCCCATGCTTGTCTCGAGCCTGTCTAGCTCAAGCATGTCAAACTGGCAGCTGGTGGGCTGCATGTCTTATTTGGCCGCAAGTTTGACATGCTTGGCTAGCTCCTCAAGGGCAAGGTCTCTGCTGAGCTAGTAGATGGCACTCAGTATATTCCTTTAAAAAAAAAATTATATAAATATATATATATATATATATATATATTTTACATATATATATATTTTACATATATATATATATTTGTATTGATTTCAGAGAGGAAGGGAGAGGGAGAGAGAAACATCAATGATGAGAGAGAATCGTTGATTGGCTGCCTCCTGCGTACCCCACATTGGGGATTGAGCCTGCACCCTGGGCATGTGCCCTGACCAGGAATCGAACCGTGACCTCCTGGTTTATAGGTCAGTGCTCAACCACTGAGCCATGTCCGGCCAGGATGTTAATTCTTTCAAAATAGAGAACAAGGAAGGCACTTTCTCTTAGGGGAAACAGTTAGTACAGAGGTCTGTCCCAGCTCTGTGCAATCTGTAAGTGTTCTCTCTTGTGAGCTGATGTAGGATGCCAACCATGAAGAACTGCAGGTCCCGTCTCCCAGGTGCTGATGCATTTGCAATCACGCTCAGAACCTCAGGAGTCTGCCTCCCTGCTAAACCAGCTGGTGTGCCTCTGGGACCCCGCTGCTCCTGGGCCTGGTCAGTAAACGCCATGTGGCACATGGGCCATCGGGACAGGGGGTGGCGCAGGACTTGAGAGGAGGACAGAGGGAGGTGCTGTGGTCCCTTCTCCCTCTGCCCATTGGTGCTGGAGGCAGGGAAGCGATGGAACTGAGGGGAGAGATGGTGATGGGAATCTTTCTCCCTCACCTCCTTCTGGAGGGAGTGCCTGGAGGAGGCGCAGACTGGTATTGCTGGGTCTGCAAGGCAGGCGTGGGTCTGAGTGATGGGACCACAGGAGAGGAGCCAGGCGGAGTCAGGGTCTCCAGGGTTCTCTTCCTTAATTAAGCGGGATCTATTGTAGCAGCTTACGAGAGCGAAGAGAGTTCGCTGAGCATCAGGAGTGTTGGCCCCACATCACCACGGTCACCATCGCCCTCGGAAGGGCCGCTGCTGAGAGCGCGAGGTTCTTGGGGCTCTTGAGACACAGCAGAAAGGCGTGGCCTGCCCGCCTTCTTACCAGACAATGGCCTTCTCATTCACCCCTGTCGGTTTGAGAGCAGAGATCCGGGAGGCTACGACTCTGAGCATGTTTATTAGGTCCGTGGTTGGCAAACTGTGATCGGGTGACAGGAACTTCGAGATCCCGGATGTGTGGGCTCGGCCATCTACCTCACAGCCCCAGGGTTCCTAAGCCTGGGCTGAACTTGACCCAGGAAGCCCCCAGCCATTGCTGCCACCTGATCCCGGGGAAGCACGCAGGAGAGCTGGGAGAGCTGGGAGGCGAAGCTGGCTCAGGAGCCTGTGCAGCCGCTAGAGACCTTCTGGGAGAGAGTCCAGCCTCCAGACCCAGGCCGGGAGGAGAGCTGGTTCTCCTTGACCCCAATTGTTCACCGCACTGTGCGGGGAGCGTTACCTAGAGACCAGGAGAGACTGAGTAAACACCACCCCGTCCCACATCTACTCCGCACGTTACGATTCAGAAATGCCTTCAAGTATAGTCTCTTCTCTCTCTAGGTCACTGTCACCTCCTGCTTTGTGTACTCGCAGTCACGCGGCCCAGTTAACACCTTGCTGACCCGTCACGAGCTATGGTGTCTGCACTCACATGAATTTAAGACACGTTAAGCCTCTACATTGCTTTCAGACCTTACACTGAAAGTCCCTTGTGACCCCCCATGCCTCAGTCTCCTCCTCTGCGGAAGGGGCAATGACAGCAGTGCTCTCCCAGGGTTATTGTGAGGACGAAGGAAAATTACCCCTGCAAACACCTCGCGTGGCCCGGCAGAGAGCAGGCACTCACCACATGTCACTCCAGGTGGGGCCCCGTGCCCCGTGCCAGGGACCCTGGGGCTTGTTTTCATAGCCTTCATTCTCAAGCCTTCCTTTGTCTCCTTCTTCCTGGTGTGTCCTCTCTTAATCCCGTCTCCCCTTGCCTTGCCCTTCCCGCCAAGCACTTGGCAACACGTTCCTGAGCCAGGACCCTGGATGCCCTGCCAACAATCGCATCTGGTTCCCCGTCCAGCTGGGCCCCCATGGATGGCGCCGCAGCTCACTCTGAGGCTTGCCGTCCGCCAGGCCTTTCTGAGCTGGACCTCACCGCATGGGGCGGGCGGACAACATATGAACAGCCCTCTTTTATAGAAATTAACAGATTTGCTCAGGTCATACAGAACGTACACACAGTGGCGGACCCAAAGCTCCATCTGCATCTCTTGACTTCAAACCTTTCCGTGCTGTGACACGATTTTGTCTATCTCAACTAGATGGTTCTGAGATGATCTCAAAAACCTTAGCAGATGTCCACTGCAAGTCCAGTCTCCATTTTTAAACATTTGTTCTGGTCCTGCTCTATGCCAAGCACTGCGCTTTGTTCCGGGCCTACAGAGAGGATGAAGATGTGTTTGCCACTTTCCTAGCAGA